GTAGTTGTGAGCATGAACTTTGGTTCACATCCTGGCTCTGACTCTTACTAACATTGTAATATTGAGCAAATCACATAAGCCCCTCAGGTTATGATGTCCTGCCTCATAGGATTATTATCAGAGTAAAAAAACTCATGCAGAGTGCTTAGTCTGACATTTAGTAAGCCTTTGTAAATGATGGCAAAGGCATGTAAATAAATGTAAATGCAGACCATGGTGTCGCAAAGAGTCAGACACAGCTTAGCATATGACTTAGCAACTGAACAACAACAGAGTGATGGTTGCCTGGATTGCCTTTAAAATCTCTAGTGCTGTGTGATGTGTTGAGGATGCATGCTGAAAACCTCAGAGGACAAGAAAAGCCAGGCTGTGAGATTTTCCCTGAAGGCCACTTAAGTTCTTTGGAAATAGATTTAAACTCTAACCCCATACCTAACATATGATTTTGACTCCTGTTGACAAAGAAAAAAAAATCAATTTTGAACACCTAGTATTAGCAAATATTATAATACAGTAAATATTATAGCAAAGGGTTCACAGAGACCAAAGAGTTATTATGTACTTTTATTTATTAAATTAATAGGTAGAATTCCTACCCATCCTCCCCACGTCCTCCCCACACCAGCACCAACATACACATAACACACACTGATATTATTTGTGGAAGGAAGGTCTTAAAATAACTTCTGTGTCCAGAGTAATGTTTGTATTAGTTACTGTATTTTGTGTTGAGTCAGGGTGATAGAGTTCAGCTGTAAGAAGGTATTCAAGATGTCACAGCTTGTAATGAGAGAGACTCTGATGCTGAGGTCTTGCCCCCAGCCTGGGGGAGAAGTGCAGTGAACTATAATAGATGGCGCTCACCTGGCCACAGTGACTGCCCCCTGTAAAGGCAGCCAAGGTGTCTATCCACAGTGCCCGCTATGGGTAGAACATGGCCATCGCATCTTCAATCACAGAAGTGGTTGATCCTTGACTGCCGGTTGAGCTGCATGAGTTCAGCAAGTAGGCATTCTAAGAGGCTTCCAGAAGTCTTCAAGAACCAGGTAGTCATTTGTAGAGATGAGGATAAGAAAGCAATCTATGGCTTCAGGATTTCTGTACACAGATAAAGCATACCAGACCAGGGCACGCTTCAGCTTCTGGAAGTTTCTTCTGGGGAAGAAACCTGGAAGTAGCTGGATGGTGTCTGGACTGGGTTTGTATGAAGCTTCAGTTTCAATAGGAAGGAGTGGTTCAACATACAGAGCACAGGTCATGCTGGGGATGGGAGCAGAGCATGTTATTGACCCTACAGACAAGATCCAGGCAGAAAAAAATAGGGCCAGTGTAGGATGCTGTGCTCCAAGCCTTGATACCAGAACAAGACTGAGGAGAGGGGGATGGTGACCCCAGGTTCCAAAACTTTACTTTGCTAAGCACTTTTATTCAGGAAAGCATCTGAAGTGTTCACGTTATAATTATTTCTAAACTATATAGGCATTCTTCTAAGTGAAATATCGTACAGTAATAAAAGAAGGCATTTGGAGCCATAACGTGAGAAGAGAGTTATGGAGACTGTTTCTTGTGTTTATTGGTCCTCCTATTACTGGGCAGTTGTGCCAGGAAGAACATCTTGTAATATTCTGATTTTGTTTCTCTAAGCTTATTAGAGGTGTCTTTCTTAAAGATTTAGTATTAAAAATTTTTTGTAAATCACACAGATTAGCCTAGAATACCCAAGGGGTTCTGTGCTTAATTTCCTACCTTAATTTCCCAAAACACTAGCCTTAAAAATAAATATATACATTAAAAAATAATGAAGTTCCTAAATTTATACTCAAAATAAGTTAAGCTATACCGATTTCCAGTAGTCATGTATGGATGTGATAGTTGGACTGTGAAGAAAGCTGAATGCCAAAAAATTGATGCTTTTGAACTGTGGTGTTGGAGAAGACTCTTGAGAGTCCCTTGGACTGCAAGGAGATCCAACCAGTCCATCCTAAAGGAAATCAGTCCTGGGTGTTCATTGGAAGGACTGATGCTGAAGCTGAAACTCCAATACTTTGGCCACCTCACGTGAAGAGTTGGCTCATTGGAAAAGACCCTGTTGCTGGAAGGGATTGGGGGCAGGAGGAGAAGGGGACGACAGAGGATGAGATGGCTGGATGGCATCACCGACTCGATGGACATAAGTTTGAGTAAACTCCGGGAGTTGGTGATGAACAGGGAGGCCTGGCATGCTGCGATTCATGGGGTCACAAATAGTCAGACACGACTGAGCGACTGAACTGAATACCGATTCTATATCTGTTACAATATATTTTTCTCAAAATTTTAATTTAAAATCACCTTCATTACAGAAACAGTATATAGATAAACAAAATAAAAATACCATATTCTGATTGCTCAGATGATGTTAACTATTCACCCGTTAGGGTATATCTTTCTGTGGGTTTTTCTGTATGAACTTTTTTTTTTTACCCAAATGATGTCATTTATTTTAGCAGACTTTTAAAAGAGTAGCTTAGTATATGGTAAAGTTGAGGGTAAAGGGTAGAGACTTCCCTTCCACCCTCTGGCCTGGCATGTGTGTAGCTTCCTCCATTGTCAGCATCATTCACTAGAATGGTGCGTATTCATTTTAACCAGGGTTGAATCTGCACTGACACATCATCATTACCCAAAGCCCACAGTTTACCAGGGTTCACGCTTTTTTATATATAAGTTTATTTTTCTTGACTTTTGGCCGTGCTGGGTCTCTGTTGCTGTGTGGGCTTTTCTCTGCGCACAGAGAGTGAGGGACTGTCTAGTTGTGGTGCGGAGGCTTCTCATTGCGGTGGCCTCTCTTGCGAGCACCGGCTCTAGGGCGCCCAGGCTGCAGTCGCTGAGGCACGTGGGCTCCGTGGTTGTGGCTCCTGGGCTCTGGATCACAGGCTCAGTTGTTGTGGCACACAGGCTTAATTGCTGCACAACATGAGGGGTCTTCCCAGATCAGGGATCGGACCCATGTCTCCTGCTTTGGCAGGTGGATTCTTACCGCTGAGCCACCAGGGAAACCCTAGCTTTCACTCTTGTTTTTGTGTATTCTGTGGATTTCAACAAATGTATAGTGACCATGTATCCATCATCATAATATCATACTGCCCTGGAAGAATCTTCTGTGGTCTGTCTGTTCATCCTTTCTCCTACTCCCAACCCCTGGAAACCGCTCATTGTTTAACTGTCTTCATAGTTCTGCACTTTCTAGAATATTACGTAGTTGGAATCATGGAGTTTGTAGACTTTTCAGATTGGCTTCTTTCACTTTTTGATATGCATTATTTCCTCCATGTCTTTTCATGGCTTGGTAGCTCATTTATTTTTAGCACTGAAATGATATTCTGGTTTCTAGATGTACCGCATTTATCTATTCATGTACTGAAGGATTATCTCAGTTGCTTTATTATATATTTTTTAAATTTTTTTATTGAAGTATAGTTTATTTACAATGTTGTGCCAATATCTGCTATACAACAAAGTAACTCAGTGATACACATGTAATAGACATGCTTTTTTTAATTTTCTTTTCCATTATGGTTTATTGCAAGATATTGAATATAATTTCCTGTGCTATACAATAGGACCTTATTATTTTTTTAAATTTACTTTTGCCAGTTAATGACTTTTCCAATCATTAATGTTTTTTATCTCATCTAGAACTTAATCAATGTATAAATTCCAAAAGAAAATCCTTTTCAGCAAGTTTGTCCAAATCCAGGGCCATTTTATTGTATCTGGCTCTTATTTAATCTAGAGTAATCCTTTTTTTTACCCCCCACAAAACTTGACTTGAAGAGTCAAAGACAGGCGCCTATAGAAAGTGCCACCTTCTGGGTTTGTCTGGTTGCTTCCCCATGGCATTCAGCATGTTGCTCTGTCCTTTGTATTTTCTGTGAAGTAGAAGGTGAATCTGTCGGTGTCATCCGTTTAGGCTCCACAGCTTTGGGAGGAATTCATTGCGAGGATGATGTGTTATTTTGCGTTGCCCTGCATCAGAGGGCCGACAGGCCAATCCCCCTATGTGCAGTTACATTTGTCCCCTTGCCAGTAGGAGGGAATCTGTGTGGCAGCGTTGAATGTTCATTTGCTCATCAACAATTTTCCTGCTGATTTTAACATTTAGCAACAACCCTCGACTAAAGAAAGAATTACACTAGGAATATGAAACTATATTTATAAAACCTATAATTTCTTTTACATTTGTTGATGGACATTTTCTGTAGGGATTTCTCAACATAGTGGGATTATTAGGTTATCATGACATATAGAGTCCTTTAATTGCCTGTTTTCAAAGTAAGGAGTTAATATCTACCTCAGAGGAGATGTGGGAAGAATTTAAGCACTTTTTTTAAAATGCTATGGTTGTGGGATGGGGGGTGGGAGGGAGGCTCAAGATGGAGAGGATATGTGTGTGTGTGTATGTGTAGTATGTGTATGTGTAGTTATGTTGTGTGTATATATATATATATAGTAGTGTGTATATATATATATATAGTTGTAGTGATATATAGTTATGGTTGATTCGCATTGTATGACAGAAACCAACACAACATTGTAAAGCAATTATCCTCCAGTTAAAAGATTTTTAAAAACGCTATGGTCACTGCAGTATGATTTCTTGAGCACTTCCAATGTATCAGGCTCTGTGTAAAGGCCTCATGTAATCTAATTCGTATGGGAGCACAGTGAGGTCATAGAGATAGAAAATGGAAATCATAAGAGGCTGAATAACTTGATACAGTTACTTGTCTGGGAAGTAACAGAGATGGAATTCAAACCCAAATGGGTCTGCATCCAAAATAAGTGAGTTATTCCTCTTAGACACTTTTGTTGCATTTTACTTAAAAGCAAAATTCTGTTTGTAATGATATTTGGAATATTTCCCAGTTCTTAAAAACTAGAAATGGATGTTTTGCTTAATAATTCTCAAGAGGTCTCTTACCTCTCCCCCTTCCATTTTTTAAAACATTTTTTTGCAGTGTGAAGAAAACACAAATCTTCAGGATACTACCCGCTACCTCAAACTTCCTTTTTCCAAGGGCATTCTCCTTGGGAATAATAATCAAGCCACAAAGGCCACAAAGGAGTCTTTTTGGATAACATCTTTTCTCTGTTCCACAAAACTGACACAAAATGGTAATGTATAATACTGTTTTATTTGAAAGCCCCTGTATTTAAGTACTCATGTGAATTTTAGTAGGATATTCTGTAAACATCAGTTTTATATTTAAGAACTTTGCACTAGAAAAATTGTTGTTGATCCTTCTGTTTGTGGTTTCTAATAATATGCAAATTGTGACCCAATGAACAGTTTAATGTGTATAGTTTAAGGACTACAGAATTATCCTAGTATTGGAACCCAAGTACACAAGTCCTCAAATAAACCATAAAAACCCAGCTGCTTAAAAAAAAAAAAAAAAAGACAAAGATTACCACAACCTTAATCTCTCTTGCTTCATAAACCGTGCTAATTGCAGGCTTCAGAGTAAATGCTGTTTTCTGTTTAATTAGATGGATATTACTTTTCTATTCTAGCATTACTTTTTATGTCAATGATTGTTTAGTAAGTTATGATTAATAAAGCAAGCTCTTCTCCTTGGCAAATTTTCCTGAAAGCATTGTCTGTAATGAAGGAAGTAAATTAAATATTTTTGAATTCTTCATGGTTGCCATGTAAGGCTTCTGGAAAGCATCCTGAATGCCATATAATAAAATTAGTTTCATTCTGTTAAAGACAATCACTTTATAATAAGGTATGGCTCTTCCTTGACTTTAGGATTGGGTTACATTCTTTTGATAAGCCCATGGTAAGTTGAATAAAATAAGTAGAATATGCATTTAGTACACCTAACCTACAAAGCATCATGGGGCTTCCCAGGTAGCTCAGATGGCAAAGAATCTGCCTTCAATGCTGGAGATGCAGGTTCAATCCCTGAATCAGGAAGATCCCTTGGAGCAGGAACTGGCAACTCACTCCAGTCTTCTTGCCTGGAGAATTCCATGGACAGAGGAATCTGGTGGGCTACAGTCCATAGGGTCGCAAAGAGTCAGACATGACTGAGCATGCACACACCACCACCACCACAAAACATCTAAGAAAAGAAGTTCTTTCTTCTGTGTCATACAGCTTAGCCCAGCCTACACTAAACAAGCTCAGAACACTTACAGTAGCTTACAGTTGGGCAAAATTATCTAACACAGAGCCTATTTTATAATAAAATGTTGAATGTCTCGCATAACTTATTGGATACTGTACTGAGAGTGAAAAACAGAATGGTTGTATTAATAACTATATTGCTTCTTTACCTTCATGATCACTTGGCTGTCTGGGATCTGAGGCTCAATGCTCAGCATCATAGGAGGCTGTTGTACTGCATGTAGCTAACCCAGGAAAAGATCAGAACTCAAAAATTGAAGTATAGTTTCTAAATGATTTCATACCACTTTTGCACCCATGTAAAGTCAAAAATCTGAAGTCAAACCATAGTAAGTCAGGGCTCTGTATTGTTAGGCAAAATATGCTCCTGTGCTTAAACTTTTTAAAGTGTTATTATTACTTTCTTCTGTGTCATATAGTAAGAAATACATATATTTTCTCAGAACATGGAATGAGAAAAGAAGCAAATTTTGATGTTATTATAATGACCACTTTTAATGATACCACCCAATTTGTCAAACAGTGTTACTGTATTTATATAGGACCTTGGCAAATTATTTTTTTTACATTTATATTGGGTTTCATTTCTCCCCTTCCAGAGGTATTTTTGGAGACATATTTTAAAAAATAAACTATGTAATTTATTTTTAGTAAATTTGATTGAAGGTAGCTATTGCCAAGTTAGGTCATTGCGCCAGACTATCAGTATTCAGTGGTTAATGATCTTACTTATAAAACCTTCATTGACAGAATTCTGTAATGACTATACAGCATTTACCAAATCTCAGGCCTTTTTTTGTGAGAGGAGTCTAACCTCATAGAGGTTGTGAAAATAATAAAATCAATGTTATTGACTCCCTTAGGTGGTATTGTCATTCATCCTATATGGATGAGTTGTGTGTCTCTAAAGAATCTGGTTCATATTTAACTCTCTGCCTCCATTAGATTATTTTCAGCTGGTATTAGTTGTCAGTTACTGCTGTAGTAATTACTATAAACTTATTGGCTTAAAACAATTATTTGTTATCTTATGATTTTGGAGGTTGAAAGTCTGCAATCTTATTCCCTGGGCTAAAATCAAGGTGTTAGCAGGGCTGCATTCCCTCTTGAAATCTCTAGGAGGGGATCCCTTTACTTACCTTTTCTAGCTCTAGGAACCACCTGCATTCCCTGGCTACAGGCCCCTTTCTACATCTTCCAAGACAGCAACAAAGCATATTCAGATCTCTCTGACTCTTATCATCTTCCATCTTTTAAGGACCCCTGTGATGAGAGTGCTCCCACCAAATCACCCAGGATAATAACCTATTTAGAAGATCTTTAACTTAATCATACTTGTAGAACTATTTTGTCAGTTAAGATAAATCCATGGATTAGAATATGGACATCTTTGGGGGCTATTATTCTTCCAAAGATATAAACCTAACAATAGATTCTCTGCCATGAAAATACATAGCACTGCCTGCTTAATTATTTCTAGTTCTAGGGTTTAGGCTATTAGACAGAACTGTGAACATAAGACAGAGGGAAACAAATCCTGATAACTAGAAGCTGCTGCTCTGTAAAAGCAGAGAACATTTTTCAAGTAAATAAACTATTCACGAAGTCATTAACTTAAACATCTCTCGCTATATAGAAAGCATTATTGAAAACTAATAAGTGCTTAATTACCATTGTGAGTTTGATTAACCTTGTCAATGTTGAACAGCTCAAAATGAGGCAGGAAATGAATAGTGTGTTTAAAGACATGGGACAGAGGAAGGAAGGAAGTTCTTTTTTCTGAAATTTACATGCTAGACACATGTCTCTGCGTAGAAGTAATCCACTTCCAAATTGGAATTAAATTGCTTTGTATTCATTTTACTCGACTTGGAAAATATACAAATCCCATTTCCATTACAATTGGGCATTTAGTAAGTGATGTGGTCTCTAGGGCAGGTTTCCTAGAGCAGATTTGCATTCCAGGATTTTTAAAGTGTGTCTGTCTACACACGTTCTGTGTGTTCCAGTGTCATTCTTAGCATAGTGAGGCTAGTGCACTGGCTGGACTGGACGTCTGTGATTGCCAAGTCAAGGAAATATTTTAAGTATCTTAAAAGTGGGGATCAGAAAAGGAACCACTTTACTTGTTTGTTAGCTTCCTTGTACTGTTAAAAACAACTTTTTAAAATGTTAAGAAAAAATGAAAACAATGTTTAAATTCATCTAACATTTGTGCCCATATTGACTGCTTCATATTCCCCCCTCCCCCCAGTAACAGGTGGTTTATTCAGTCTCTCCCTGAGACTGTGGTTTTTTTAAAAAAAAAGTAGGGATCAGGTCATCCACCTATTTTATAGCTCTTGGCAGACCAGGCATACAGTCAATACACACTTAAATGATAGTTGAATGGAATGTATAAAATTCTCATTTTCAGTAATAGATCCTAGCTGCAAATTTGCAGCTGATGTATCTTCAAAGGGCTATAATAAAGACCTAAGAGATGATAATTTTGACTTGATTCTGAGTACATGGCATACATGATTAATTGTGTCCAGATGGACAGAGTATAACACTTTGTTCTCCTTTTGGCTCCATTGGGAGCAGTCTAACAATTCCTCAGACTTCTTGCAGGAAAGATGAACAGCCCCACCCCGTACCGCTGTCATCTGCTATCCGGCTCTGCTGATGACAGTCCTATCCTTGGTCCTCTACTGATGCCACTTCGCAGCCCATAGAGCCTCCTTCTTCTTCTGCACAGGGTCCACCCCTCGCGTTGAATGCTCCTGCAAAGGCCTCATTCTAAAGGGCAGGGAAAGAGAAGGAGGGGACAGACCCGGATGGGAGGGAGATTGGAAAGTGAATGGCAGGGCAAATTGTAAAAGAGGGCTGCCAGGGAAGGAGGCAGGCATCCTGAAGCCAGATGCGGGAAGTCAGAGCGGAGCAGCAAGCAAACCAGGAGAATCCTGGAGAACTTTCTTTAGTCGGCTGGTCTCAGCCTATAGAATCTCTCATCTAAATGTAACCGATCATATTTTTAAATGTTTCAGTCATACCTCCAGAACGTCTGAGTTAGACATGAATGTTCAACATTTTCAGGGTTTTCTGCTATAAAATAATCATAAATTTCTTTTTCAATGTCAGTTTTTGAAAAATTCCCTCATTTTTTCTGATTGTAAATCTTCCTCTTCCTCATCCCCCTATTTGTTACAGAAAAATATTCCTATTTAGTGCTAAGTTTCCTACTTTTGGTTCCCTTGTGAAGTTTTTCCCTTGAAATTGGCTTTGGTGGAGGTTGCTTCTATTTTTTCTTGAGATTCTCATGTTTTTTCTCTTTATTCACTGTGTGTGTTAGATGCTCCATTGCTTCCAACTCTTTGTGACTCTATGGACTGTAGCCCACCAGGCTCCTCTGTCCATAGGATTCTCCAGGCAAGGATACTGGAGTGGGTAGCCATTTCCTTCTCCAGAGGATCTTCCTGACCTAGGGATCTTTATTTATTACATCATGTTTTCTTTCTTATCATAACTGCTTCCTTGATTTTTTTGGATTATTTGTTGTTGTGATTGGTGTTTGTATTTTTTGGTCTTTCTTGCCTCTTGGCAAGTCCCATTCAAGTTTCTCCTGAAACAAATGCTTTGAAGCAGAAAACCTCTCCTGGCTTCTCTTGTGGCTTCTCTAGTGTCTCAGCCCCACTGGGCACCAGGAGAATAGTCCTGGGCACGTGCTGCTTCCATGAGCCTTGTCAGTTGTTACTGCTGTCATTGGCCTCTGATGCCGCTGACTCCTTGTTCCCTTTGGAGACCAGTGAAGATGGGCGCCATGTGCAGGAGCTTCTGCCCGGGAAGGAGGAGGAAAGGATTTATTCCCTCACCAGTGAAGAGGTTCCCTGAAGACTCTGCTAGACACAGGGCTCACATGTTGTCAGGTCAGAAAGAAAAGGGAATTGAAGAGCTGGGACCTGCTCTTGCCCAGAGTCTAGGGCGGAAGATGATCACAGAGTCCAGGAACTGGCCCTCTCAGGTCCAAGGGCTCATTTGATGGTCTGACAGTTGACTGGACTTGTCATCACTGTATAGTGTCTCAGTGGTTAAAACCCATCTGCCAATGCAGGAGACACAGGTTTGATCCCTGGGTCAAGAAGATCTTCTGGAGGAGGGCATGACAACCCAGTCCAGTATTCTTGTCTAGAGAATTCCATGGCCAGAGGAGCCTGGTGGACTGCAGTCCATAGTGTTGCAAAGAGACCTGATTGAAGCAACTTGGCATGGCATGGCATGGCTTCATTCTGCAGGAACCTTCTCGTACTGCCAGGTTTGGGTCACATTGTCAAGAAGACCTTCATTGCCAAAGGGAATTGTTTGCTTGGCCAAGTGCTATGTCTTGGGAACAGAAAAATGAATCAAGTGGGATCCTAGCCCTCAAGAGTCTCCCAGTTTAATTGGAGGAGTTAGAAAATTCTTCAACCAGTACTTACCAACTGCCTGCTGTGTGCCTCCTCCATTCCAGCGCTAGCACTGTTAGGGCCAAACTCAGTGTGGTTTTTTTCTCTTGGAGTTTACAGTCTTTGGGCAATTACAAGTAGCCTGAGAACTGAAGGATAAGCAAGAGTTTGTCAGTCAAGGGCACTGGGAAGGGAGAAAGAGAAGACACTGTAATAAATGCCATCTTAGAGGGTTAGTTGGAGTCTGGGGGAGCCTGCAGTTTGGGTGACCAGGTGGAAGCATATTTAAGAATTCAGTGTTTACCAGTTAGAACACTTTCCTGTGAGAACCTGTTCTCTATCAAGGCAATAATCTTCCTTTTCTATTTGGACAGGTGATATGCTTGATCTTTTGAAATGGAGAACCCACCCAGACAAGATCACAGGCTGTCTCTCTAAATTAAAAGAAATTGATGGCTCCGAGATAGTAAAGGTAAATGCATCCTGTTATCCTTCTTTTAGAAATTTGTGGGATAAAGAATATTTAGAGGGGAAATACAGAGGATATTTTATTTATGCTTTTACTTCTTTATCTAACAGTTTCTGCAAGATACACTGGATACCTTATTTGGAATTTTAGATGAAAATTCCCAAAAATATGGGTCTAAAGTGTTTGATTCATTGGTGAGTTTAAATTAACTTTATATCTTAATTTTGTCTTTAAATCTTGACTTTCTTAAGGCCATTTTAGGAATGTGCACTTAATAGAATGAGTTCACTTGAAAAGAAACCTTCCCAAATCAAAAAAAAAAAAGAGAGAGAAAAGAAAAACAACAAAAAAAACAAACAAAAAAATTTAAAAAAAAGAAAAAGAAGAAACCTTCCCACTCCCCTGCCAAAAAAGTCTTGGTTTGCATTCAGTTTTGTAAAACTCTGTTTTGTTTTGTTTTAGGTTCACATAATCAATTTGCTGCAAGATAGCAAATTTCATCATTTTAAACCTGTAATGGACACTTACATCGAGAGTCATTTTGCTGGGGCACTTGCATACAGGTAAGGTCCTTTGTCTTGTAATTGGTTTAGAAACAGTTTCTTTTGAACTTTTTAAAGCAGAACCAGCTATATAGGAAAATTTAAAAGAGAGTGTAGGAAGAAATGAAGTATAGCTACTCAAGTGTCTCTTGAGACAGTATCTTCCTTTTTCACACACCTTTTTTTGATGGCTGAAACTTATTTTTATTAAAAAGGAGCAGGTGGGGGGAGAACTTCCTGAGTTCTAGTCCTGAAACCTAAAATATGTTTTCTTCTTGCCTGTTTCACTTGATCTTCTCTAGTCTAAAATACCTGGTTGTTTCATTTTGACAGTCAAGAACCCCATTTACTCATCACACTCCTTGGTAATTCTAGATGTCTTTAAGCAAGAAATATAATGGGAAAACAGCCTTTGCAATCATACCATTTTACAGTCCTTTGTTCATCCATTTGTTAATATTTGTTGAGTGCCTCCTGCATGCCAGGCACTAAGCTTTGTGCTGATCGTATGAAGAGCTGGCCCATGGATGCAAGGAGTTCAGTTATTAGACTCTATCCTTTGTTACCAGCTGCCATTTTAACTGCTGCTCCTTTCTTATCAGCTCAGATAAGGCAAGCAAGACTAAAAGTGAATGAATAATGACATGCTGTAGCTGGTACTTGCCTACATGTAGCCTAGAAGATTGGCTCCCCTCTTTCTGTCCTATGGGTGACATCTTCCTGGTCATGGGCCTGCTTAATACAGCCCTGAAATGTACCCCAAAGTTCCATCTCCCCATTCCACTGCTGTCATTGCTATTCTGCCAGGTTTTTTTTAGTTTATAATTTTTTTTAATTAGAGGATAATTGCTTTACAATGTTGTGTTAGTTCCTGCTGCACAACAACGTGAACCAGCTGTATGTATACATACATCTCCTCCCTAGCCTCCCACCACCGCCCCCATCCCACCGCTTTAGGGCATCACAGAGCACCGAGCCGAGCTCCCTATGTTATACAGCAGCGGCCAATGCTTTTATCTTATACACTAAACACCTGTGGGCATGTGCACGCAGTCATCTATTCCCAGAGGTGCGTTAAAGGGGCATGGAATCAGGGCTTTGCCCTTTCTCCCCATCTGTGTGCTGTATAAAAGATAGTAGGTAATCAGCTAAGCATTTCATCCAGTTCCTTTGGTTGTTTGCTTCCATAGCCTGGTAAGATTTACACCTCTGATGTTTAAGTGAATGGAATCATGTTTGCAAGACTTGACCTTCTACTGACATGAGTTTTTCAAAGGGTGAAATGTTTGAGCAAGGATAGTTTTGCCCATGACCTAACAGTTTGGGCCCTGGTGTGAGGGGTCACCATTCTGACTGACACTGTCACTAGAAACTAGAAAACAGTGGTGTAATTTCTAAACTTCAGATTAGCCAGGAATGCAGCTGATCAGTTCTAATCAGACAAATAAGGCCCATGGAATCTTCATGGGCCAGAATCATGACCACTCATCCTCAAAAGTAGTGTTCCCATCAGCATCTACCTACTGGAACAACCATAAATTCTCCTCAGACAGAGAGAAAATTTTAAAAATTTGCTGTTTTCTAGATGCCAAGAATTGGCTGGTGTTAAAGGTCACGTAACTGCAATCTTGAGAATTTAAGGGGTGGAGGTTAATTCAATTTTTGTTTCTCAAAACAATAAAACTTCTAGAAATTACTTGGAAAAAATAAAACTTGGCTTTTCTGGAAATTAACAGGGCATTCTCTGATGGTAATCCTCATTCTTCCCACAGGTCAGAGAATTGATTTGTTAAGTCCATGGGGTTGTGATTTGAAATGAGGAGGTGGTACCTTTATCCTTCCCCACACCTCCTTTTGCCTCCTGCTAAATATTTCATCCAAATTAGGATTTCACTGGGGAGGAAATCCTAATTAGCAGTTGTCCGAGATTGACCGTGGCAGTCAGATTCAGACACTCCCCTGGCGGGAGTCCTTTCTTCTGATATTTGTGTTCACTCATTGGAAGCATGGCCAGAAGCAGCAGGGCTCATGGAATATGTCCAGATTGAAAGGAATCTCGCTGGGAGGAAATGTTGTTTCTTCAGCTTCAAAAGAGGGATAATGATGTTGATATGCAGACTTTGTAAAATTATCATATTATAACAGTTTGACAGAAACGTTGAGAACTGATGGAAAATGACACCTCCTTATGATAAAAATAAGTGTTTGATTTGTTGGCTTCTAATTGAGAACAAGACCTAGTCTCCCTTCTGCACATTTCCCCTGTATTTTAGAGATCTCATCAAAGTACTCAAATGGTATGTGGACCGGATCACAGAAGCAGAGAGACAAGAGCACATCCAAGAGGTGTTGAAGGTAATGACACGCTGTGGATAGCATGTCATAGCCCAACAGTGCTGCTGCGTGGTGATGCCTAAGCAAATTGGATTCCTCTACACAGACAGTAATTGCTGATGATGTATCACTGACATTCCAGTGCAATGATCTTAATCAGTTTGTGGCTTCTCCAGAGGTGATGAGATTTGAAAAGAACTTTGCCAGACTCACCCACTGGAACCTCCCTGGCATTAAATCCTTACTCTCCTCCAGGCTCTGAACACTTGAAATCTAGAAGGAAGGATTGAGAAGACAAGACTGCAGATGAGCAGTTAAGCTTAGAATTTCCCTGTTCTTGCTTCGACCACCCTGACAGAGACCATCTGAGAACCATTTGTCTTACATTTTAAGGGCTTCCCTGGTAGGTCTGCTGGTAAAGAATCCATCTGCAATGCAGGAGACCCCGGTTCAATTCCTGGATTGGGAAGATCCCCTGGAGAAGGGATAGGTTATCCACTCCAGGATTCATGGGCTTCCCTGGTGGCTCAGATGGCAAAGAATCTACCTGCAATGTGGGAGACCAGGCTTCGATCCCTTGGTTGGGAAGATCCCCTGGAGGAGGGCATGGCAACCCAATCCAGTATTCTTGCCTGGAGGATGGCTTAGCAGGGATCATAATGAGGAAACCTGAGGTTTTACAGGGTCTTGTGGTTTAACACTGCCCATATCTCTGGGCCCTACAAGCTCTGTATATATGAAGATGTTGATACCTTTCTTGCAACAAATTTGTAAAGAATCTACCAATAGATTCTTTTTTAAATTAGTTAATTGATTTTAATTGGAGGGCAATTACTTTGCAATATTGTGATGGTTTTTGCCATACATCATCATGAATCGGCCACAGATATGCATGTGTCCCCTGCATCCTGAACCCCTCTCTTACCTCCCTCCCATCTGTCAGTAGATTCTTAAGAGGTTTGTCCAGTAACAGCCTTGGCAGCCTTTTGATTTCTGTAATTGAGTACATAGTATTTAATGTCAGTAGGTAAAAGTAAACAGGTGTACATTCTGAAAAACAAGCGTTTTACTCATTATAAATTTGTCATCTGGGGCTGATTGAAGGTAAAATGCAAGTGGCAAAAGAACCTCCCAGCAAAGCAGAATTATTTTTGAAAAACAGACCACCATATCTTTGTTAATTATATTAAATCATCTGAGGATCAAAAACATTTAATGTTCATACCTCTTTGAGAATTATATGGAATTTAAAAATTATCTATACGTTTGTTTCCTCTCATTAGGCATTAGAGAAAAACAGCTCTTTTGCAATGAGTAAATACTGTTCAAAAATCACACAGGGCCTTAGTACTTAAATCAATAATTTAAAAGTCTAATGTACTATAGTTTTGTGTTGTGTCATTGTTAAATTAATACCTTTAATTTTCTTTGAAACTAACATTTTAAAAATTTTGTTTTAAGGCCCAAGAATATATTTTTAAGTATATTGTTCAGTCTCGAAGGCTGTTTTCCCTTGCCACTGGAGGACAGAATGAGGAGGAATTTCGCTGCTGTATTCAGGAGCTGCTCATGTCAGTTCGTTTTTTTCTTTCACAAGAAAGCAAAGGATCTGGAGCATTATCTCAATCACAGGTAATTTTTTTTTCATCTCTGCTGAACAGAGGAAAAAATGAGTCCAATTTATTTTTTACATAGCCACCTAAGTGAATATTTTCCCCCTCAGCATTTCATAACTTCAGGTTATATTTGTAGCTTAAATGACTCGGAATAACCTTTTAAAAAGTCCCCCAGCTTCTGAGCACCAGCAGAGCAAAAGTTGGTAATGTCTTTCTTTGGACTGTTATCACCCCAAATGGAGAGCCTGTTGGTTTGCATCAGCCTCCATTCCAGTTTCTAGAACTCACGCTGCTGATTGGAGACACCCTGTCAGTGTCACCTGTGGGGAGGAATTTTTCTCTTAACTCACCTGCTACTAGAAGGACTGATGCTGAAGCGCCAATCTTTTGACCACCTGATGTGAAGAGCTGACTCATGAAGGCAAGACTGAGGGCAGGACGAGAAGGGGGTGACAGAGGATGAGACGGTTGGGTGGCATCACTGGCTCAATGGACATGAGTTTGCACAAACTCCAGAAGATAGTGGAGGACAGAGAAGCCTGATGTGCTGCAGTCCATGGGGTCATAAAGAGGATTGTTTTGAGCAACAGAAACAACAATCTGCTGCTGCAGTTGTTTCCCCCAAGCCTGCCTTTTTCTTTTTTTTGGTACACTGTGTGAACAGTTCTCCAACCAGGGATGGAACCCAATCCCCGGAATGAGACTGGTGAGTCCCAACCACTGGACTGCCAGAGAATTCTCTTGTACTGCATTTTAATCCGTGCACGTGAGGCTCATTGTACTGGTCTCGGCTAAACTGCATGTTGTTTTGTTTCCAGTAGACCCTAATCATCCTGGGAGTTATTCTCTATCACCAGTGCTCAGCGGTCGCTGTCAAAGTATATTACCAGGAGTAGCTCTCATGTTTTGTTTAAGAACAGGTTCTATCTACTTTTCAAATAGTGTGCCAAGAGGTCATTCTGAATACCTTTCTCTACACTTTCTTGATACTTCTTGTCATTTAAGAACAGGATCTATCTACTTCTTGTCATTTAAGAACAGGATCTATCTACTTTTCAAATAGTGTGCCAAGAGATCATTCTGAATACCTTTCTCTACACTTTCTTGATACTTCTTGTACCTGTTTAATTCTAATAACTTGATTAAAAAACCCATCAGATGGGAAAGCAACTTCTTTATTACCCTCCGCTGGAGACTTGAGACTTACAATGACTGTGAATTTGGATACAAAAAGGGATAGTAGGAGACTAGATCCCTAGGAGTATTGTTGTAACTTGGTGGTGTCTGCCATTTGGAAAGCATTATATCTAAAGGCAAAACACTAGAAATGTACGACCCCCCTACAATAATAATGCCATGCTTTTCTGACTGTTTGGGAGCTGTTCTTGTTACTTTCTTCTTTGCAGAGGTGGACTTCTCTTCCATCTGGGTAAGGATGTTGTTATTTAGTCACTAAGTCATATCTGACTCTTCTGCGACCCCACAGACTATAGCCTGCCAGGCTGCTCTGTCCATGGGATTTTCCAGGCAAAAATACTGGAGTAGGTTACCATTTCCTTCTCCAGGGGATCTTCCCAACCCAGGGATCAAACCCACGTGTCCTGAATTGCAGGTGGATTCTTTTACCACTGAGCCACCAGGGAAGCCCCTGGGTAAGGATATAGGCTCTTTTAATATCATTTTGGCTTCTCTTGTCAATGGTACAATCACTGAACTTTAGGACACTTGCCAGAGATCTCAATGTCAAGTTGCCAACTAATCAAACCTTACTTACCAGCTGGTGATATTTGAAAAGGATATTCCAACAGGCTAACCATATATTCCTTTAGATCAATATTCTCAGAAGTTCACTACTTTTATAAAAACTGTTGAAAATTTCAGTTTTCATTTTGAGATTTTTCTTTAAAAAAAAAAAAGAAAAACCTCTATCAAGGATATAACATACCTAATTAATATCTGAAAAATATTCTCCTTCTCTCAAAAGTAATCTTAAGTCATGGTTTCTCAAATGAAGATGTCTTGCTATGGACTCATGAGATTTTTTTTCTTCTTTAAAGTTAGAGAAACATTCTTTTACCTTAGTTACGTTACACTGAATCCTAGCCGTCACTCTGAGAAATTTGGGCTCTGAGGTACAGCCATGATATAGAGCAGCTTCCTTTTCTATATTTACCCTCCAACTGCTCTTGATTCTCTAAATTCTACCCCTCCATCAGGATAGTGAGGCAGTTGGGACTTCCCTGGACATGCAGTGGTTAAGACTTCACCTTCCAATGCAGGGGGTGTGGGCTGTATCCCTGGTTGGGGAAGTAAGATCCCAAATGCCTTGGGGCATGGCCAAAGAAAAATTAAAATATTAAAATAACTTTTTTTTTAAATAGTGAAACTGCTGCACCTTCAAAGGATCATATTTGATTCTTCTTTTTTGACTGTTAGCTTTTTATCAGGAGATAATATATAAAATGTGTGCATAGTTTCTTAGTTTGGTGCTAAGAGAAAATTTCTATAAATAAGTGGTTAGTTTTCTTCATTAAACAAGGAGGACTTTGTCCCTCTATATTTTGGGAGGAAGGAGAATTTTAAATACTTCTTCCCATTCCAAGTCCCCGTTTGACCCCACACTGTCATTTCTCTCTCTTCTAAGATGGAAGGTGTCACTAATCTGATTGATCCCATATGTTAGGTTTCTGTCACTGCACAACAGATGACCATGATGGTGTTCAGTTCAGTTGCTCAGTCGTGTCCGACTTTTTGCGACCCCATGAACCGCAGCACGCCAGGCCTCCCTGTCCATCACCAACTCCCAGAGTCCACCCAAACCCATGTCCATTGAGTCGATGATGCCATCCAACCATCTCATCCTCTGTTGTCCCCTTCTCCTCCTGCCTTCAAGCTTACCCAGCATCAGGATTTTTTCAAATGAGTCAGCTCTTCTCATCAGATGGCCAAAGTATTGGAGTTTCAGCTTCAACATCAGTCCTTCCAAGGAACACTCAGGACTGATCTCTTTTAGGGTGGACTGAATGGATCTCCTTGCAGTCCAAGGGACTCTCAAGAGTCTTCTCCAACACCACAGTTCAAAAGCATCAATTCTTCAGTGCTCAGCTTTCTTTATAGTCCAACTCTCACATCCATACATGACCACTGGAAAAACCATAGCCTTAACTAGACGGACCTTTGTTGGCAAAGTAATGTCTCTGCTTTTTAATATACTGTCTAGGTTGGTCATAACTTTCCTTCCAAGGAGTAAGCGTCTTTTAATTTCATGGCTGCAGTCACCATCTGCAGTGATTTTGGAGCCCAGAAAAACAAAGTCAGCCACTGTTTCCACTGTTTCCCCATCTATTTCCCATGAAGTGGTGGGACCAGATGCCATGATCTTAGTTTTCTGAATGTTGAACTTTAAGCCAATTTTTTCACTCTCCTCTTTCACTTTCATCAAGAGGCCCTTTAGTTCTTCACTTTCTGCCATAAGGGTGGTGGCATCTGCATATCTGAGGTTATTGCTATTTCTCCTGGCAATCTTGATTCCAGCTTGTGCTTCCTCCAGCCCAGCGTTTCTCATGATGGTGTTATGACACCCATTTATCAGGTCAGATTCGTAGATCAAAAGACATGGTTGGATTTTTGGCTTAGGGTCTCCTGTAGCCAATATCAAGGGGTTGGTTTTGACGGCTTATCTGGAGGCTTTCAGGAGGAATTCATCTTCTAGATCTTTCAGACTTTGGACAGGAATCAGTTTCCTTATGAGTGAGAGTCCCATTTCCTTGCTTGCTGTCAGCCAGAGTTGGGGAAGGAGCTGAGTGCTCTTAGCTCCTAGAGACCACACATTCCTTGGTGTATGGCCCCTCTAATCCTCAAAGCCAGGCACAGTTTATCAAATCTTTCTCATGCTTCAAATCTCTGAGTTCCCCTCCCATGTGTCAGAGAACACTTCTGCCTGGGAACAGCATCAGGGGACAAATTTATTGGAGATCATCTTGGAACTCTGCCTACCGTGTCCAGAGCCAAGGATAGCCATTGGTCCAGATTCTTGCCTTAAACACAAAAGTCCCAGTTTCCTTGCTCCATTTTGGATTTTTTCCATGTGAGTTACAACTCAGCAAATTCTGTCTCCTGGAGGCAGAATAGGCCATCCCAGCAATCCCTCCAGTTGGATCAGTAGACAGCTGCTCTGTAGAGCTGGTACTGCTAGGAGGTTCATTTGGTCCTCCTGGCCTAAGCCCAGCCTGTTAATGATTCTGTCCTTGGGAGCAGGACAGAAGGCTTACTTTGCTGTCTGTAGTCCATTCCAAGGGCAGCCCTCTACCCTGGGAACCTCAAGAAAAGAAGAATGGTGGAAGGTATTCAGCCCTGAGACCCTGCCCCAAATTCCTATTAATTATCTTTTTTCTTTTTGTCTTGGATACCAGGAAGATCAAAACAATATTGTGTTTTTATTATTTGCAGTAAAAATCTTTAGCTTAGATACCTGTAAGCTTAGATACCTTTAGCTTAGATACAAGTCTCTTTCTACCCTCATCACAAGGTCCTTTTTTCTTTATCTTTTTAAATAAGTGTATCTTACACTGCAGGCACAAATATCTTTTTGAAATAAAGAGGTATAAATAAAGAATTGATGCATACATTAAGGGATTTCTGAGGAACATCAAGTTAGGTGATTTTTCAGTGATCAGAAAGCTGGCCTCATTTACTCTTTTTAAACTTCATCTTATGACTCAGCTCTTTGCAGAGTGAAATGAAGGTTATATAAGTATAGTCTTTACCAAAAAATATCAAGTTATTAATTTTAAAAGCATTCAAGTAAATCTATAATTTTTAAAAGTCAAAGGGAGAACATAGCTGCTGACCCTAGCACCATGAGCATTCTGATGGTTCTGATATCAAAAACAGGTCTCAGCTCTTCAACGTATTTCTGCTACTGCTATATAGGTAGATACCAAAGTCCACAAATTTGAATTCGATTCTGTGTTTGAATCATCAGCGCATGGAGACTTGACCCACTTTCTGCTGGAGATCTCATTGGTGAATCCGACAGCCATTGAATCTCAGCATATTAGAAACATGTGCCTCTTCCTCCACCAGGTGGTTGATCAATTTTTCTTTCCACTGCCCTCCTTTTGTGGAATTTTAAAAGGCTGAGTTTTGATGTGCAGTCTTAGCCCAATTTTTAAAGTATGCCCCTCAGGGTTTGATGTTCGCACCTATTTTTTTTTTCTTTTAAAAAATAATGATCAGGTTTCTTTATTTATGTAAACAATATTGTTCTTAATACACACAGTTTTGGATTTTCATTAGATCTTGAAGTAACCTGAGGGATTATTCTAATGATCTTGTCATTTTATAGGTGATGAAACTGAAACCTAGGGGTTTAAAATGACTTGCCCAGGTCACAGAGTTGATTAGAAGTCAAGCTCATCCTACATGTAATCTAGGTCTTCTGATGCCTTCTGATGTCCTGTGTTTCTTCTTTAATCATAAATTGAGTGTTTTAAGGAATTAATGTGTTTGGCTTCTTAAAGGTAAATGATATTTAAATGAGCACTTCAGAATGCTTCTCCAAAAAGAATGAAACATAAATAATTACAATCCAGGTCTTGGCAGAGTATCTCTTCCATTTGATCATGCTACCTTCTGCTGAATCTATGGGGGTTTCGTCCATCATTTTGCTAATGTCAGTTGCTTTACAGGATTTCCGTTTTCTACTATGTTGTACCTTTGCATATTTTGAAAAATTGCTCTATTTTGGTGTACCTTTTTCCCTTAAATTTTGCCCTTTTAGTCTTTTTAGATTTAGGTACCAGAAGCATTTGACATTCTGTTTCCTACCATTGAAAAATATTTGTCACAGTCTTAAACTCACTGACATTTTTATAGCTGATTTCTCAGGGCATGTCTGGGAATTGACTTAAATTCTTCTTTTAAAGGCTGTGTTTCTGAGCTCCTTCCCAGCTGTGTATTCGGAGCTGCTGAAGCTCTTTGACGTCCGGGAGGTGGCCAGCTTGGTCCAGGACACCCTGGGCAGTCTGCCGACTATCGTGCACGTGGATGACGCCCTGCAGGCTGTTAAACTGCAGTGCATTGGCAAGACCGTGGAAAGCCAGCTCTATACCAACCCAGGTAAGGTGCTGTGTCTCTCAGATAAAACAGTGTCTCTAGAAAGCCATTGCTTACATTTTCTAGTCATAGGTCAGCAGAAGCAATTTAAAAAGGAAACTAAAAACTTCTTTCTCAGAGCATTGTGTATTTGGATGGTAGAATAAGTTTATTAAATAGTCACACACAAAAGTATGGCTCTTAAAATTTTATTTCTGGAAAGAATGGAAATTCTAATAATTAAATTGTTAATTCAGATCACAACAAGTTGTAGTGTAGGGCATGCTTTTTTCCTTGCTGTAGATTTTTTTTTTCTTTTAACAGTCAACAAAATTAAAATTTTTTCTTTTCAGAGATGCTTATAGGGAACTGCTATAATCCTTGTTTGTTTATCTCATTTGTCCTTAAAAGTTTTCCATCAATTTGTGTTCTGAAACTGGGTGAAAGTTTCAGTGTGTTGTCATTTTTTATATATTTTATCCTAATAGCAAGTGACTACTTACTAAGTTGATTTTGTCATAATGTCTACTATGAAATCCCACTACATACTGGAAATTCCTCCAGTTAAAAAAAAAAAAAATGCCAGTCTCATTTTAAATTATATTTTAAAAAGGTTCCATAATTATCACTGAATCAAAAACTTTAAAAAATTATATTTTGAGAAATCTTTCACATGAATACATATATGTGTGTGTTATATTTTTTAAATAGGTCTAAAATATAGTTAAGAAACCTTTTTTACATTATTGTGAAACACTTTAAACATACAAACTAGACTAGAGCATAATAAATCTCAACAATGGGGGATATTTACTTTAGGTCTTTTAAGAGATTTGTCATTATAGAAATAGACCCTCTTGTATATACTCACTTCCTTCATATATGTTTCCACTATCAGATTAATTTCTGTTTTCTATGCCTTTATTCTGTAGCTATAAAAACATCAATTTCTACCTTTTCAAATTTTTTTCATCTTTTAGTTTTTATATAATATTATATTGAATGTCATTCTATAGAGTGCTTCTTTTTTATTAATATTGCACTTTTTTATTTTTCCATGCTATTAGATATAGCTCTTGTTCTTTTTTACTGTTGTATAGTAGTCCAACAAATATTTGTATATTGTGGTTAATTTATCTTTTCCCTGTTGATAGACTGTTAGTATGTTTCTGATTTTTTTCTGAGATAAACAATGTTTCAGTGTGAAAGAGGCTTCAGCCTTCTGATTTCTCCCCATGAAAACACATCTCATCCTGGAAAGATGCTTTTGTAGTAGTTTTCAGACTGTACCTCTCAGAGTTCTAGGGTTCTGCTGCAGTGATTAGGGCTTCCTTGAGGGTGAAGAATAGGCGGTATGAAGTAGAAAGGATGAAGGTCCCAACTAGGCATCCACATTTGACTAGAATATAAATTCTGTCAATATCAATTACCAAACTAAGAAGAGTTTATTCTCCTATCAGAGGAATTGGTGATTTTTACCATATTTCTCTCTTACTGGCTAGATAATTCTTTGTTAGGTTAAAGTCTGACACAAAAAGAGCAACATAGATAATGAAAACCGTTTTTAAAATGTAAGGAAATTATTTTTGTTCATTATTGCCCCTGGGAGATGTGTTCCGTCTGTGGACTCAGCTCTTTGTTGCTTACTGATGCTCAGGAGGTGGTAGAGAAATCATACTGGGTCTCTGTGGGAGGTGGCGAGATTATTTACTGGGGCCAGAATAGAAGGACTCAAGAGACCCAGGGAACGTGGACCCTGAAAGACCTGTGCTCGTGACCTAGAGGAGAGACTCAGAGCCAGTGCTGGGGATTAGTGATGGTGACACTGATGTGAAGAGGGGCAGGGGAAGCCTGCCTCCCTTGTTATGTGGGACACTGCTCATGGAGGGTGATGATGGGGAAACATAAACTTCTGAGAAAGAAGTGACTCTCGACCAATGGAACACACGGACGCAGATGCTGGTAAGAGGCTTGACTCCCCTCAGGGCCCCCAGGAAGATGGGATTAGATTGTGGTTTAGTGACTCACGGAGCTTCCCAGGTGGCAGAGTAGTAAAAAAGTTACCCAGGAACCATAACAACACTAAGGAAAACCATGAATAGCATCACCAAACTATGGTGAAATCAGATTCATGTTTTAGAGAAGTTTTGACCTGTTAGTTTCCTGCTGGTGCCACAGTGACCACCACAAACTTAGTGGATTAATGTAACTCAGATTTCTTATGTTACATTTCTGTAGGGCAGAAGTCCAAAATGCTTCTCACTGGCCTAAAATCAGGGTGTGGATGGAGCAACATTCCTTTGTGTAGTGTCTAGGGAATAATTTGTTTTCTTGCCTCTGACAGCTTCTAGAGGCTACCTACATTTCCCCCTCCTTCATCTTTAAAGCCAGCAGTTTAGCATCTTCACATCTCTGACTCTATCTAGCTGCTTTCACTTGTAAGGACCTCTATGTTTACATGGGTCCCACCTAGAATTCAGGGTAATCTCCCCAGTATAGTATCCTTATTTTAATCATTTCCAAAAAAATCTCTTTAACAGAATCTATTCACATAACATATTCACAGGTTCTGAGAATTAAGATGTAGATATCTTTGAGGGAAACAATTTATTCTGCCTGCTACATAGGGGTAAAATGAACAGTTTAAAAGCAGTGTGATGGTGTAGCTCCATATATGAAAGGCAAAAACACTCAGGAGTCTATGAATTTTATTTACTTGTTGGAAGCAAAATAAATGGAACATGAAGTCCTACAGTTATATAAGTAAACACATCTTGGCCAGATGGAAGTTACAAATGACACTTTGCTGATTAAAATTATAAATCTGAACAGGAGAAAATAAAATAGGGATAAGTACATTACAGGGTATCAACTGGCTATGTATTTAGCTGAAGACAAAGTATTTAATTCTTGATGGCCTTAATAACAGTTCCACTTCTCAGAACACTGAGTATGGCAGAGATAATTGCTACTCTGAGCTGAATTCTGATCAACAAAGATGAACTGGTTAGTGATAGAGAGTGAGAAGGATCTGAGAAAGTGACCTCATTTTCTGGGGCATTCATATTAGCTAGAGAGGCGTACAGAGTACAGTCAGCCCATGCTTTAAGAAAATAGATCTCAAAATATTTTGGAGGACAAGACTGTAGATGTTACAAGCTCTTAGGAGAGATAGAAAGTTTTGAAAGCTGTCTTTGTACTAGAATCCTATATTAGGCTTCTCCAGAGAAGTAGACCCAATAGTGTGTGTGTGTATAGATTTATTGTAAGGAATTGTCTTATGTGTTTATGGAGGCTGAGAAGTCCCAAAATCTGCAGTTAGCAAGCTGGAAATTCAAAGTTGGTGACATAGTTCCAGTCTGAGTTCCAAAACCAGGAGAGGTGTTTGTATAAATTCCAGTCTAAATCTGAAGGCAGGAAAAGGTGGATATCTCAGTTGAATGACAGGCAGAGAGAGTAAACTCTTTCTTACTCCACCTTTTCTTGTATTCAGAGCTTCAACGGATTAGGTGAGGCCCACCCATGTTGGGGAGGACAATCTGCTTTACTTAGCCTACCAAATCACACATAATTCTCATCCAGAAATACACTGGCACACCAAAGATAGCATTTAACGAAATATCTGAGCTGCCATGGGACATGTTGACATACAAAATTAACCATTGCAAACCCCAAAGAGAAAAAAAGTGGAGGAGATACACAAAGGAAGCGGTATGGCTGCAGAATACTTCTAGTTGAGCCTGCATTAGAAATTAATATTCACAGAAGGCAAAGAGGGACACACAGGTCAACACCACAGAAGGGAACAACAAAAAAACATGGTAGGAAGGTTCAAGCCATCTTGAGTTAAGGGCCAGGGGGCAGTCTCGGGGTTGGAGGCATTCCACAGCCAGGCAGAACTGAATCAGTCCCTTTGAGCTGTACCGTCAAGGTGAGAGTCTAGAGTATCTGGCTAGACCTGAAAGACTTAGCTCAGATTTGAAATGTAAGCAGGTTGTTATTCCACACCTAAATCATCTGGGGTCCAGGCAGTCTTATTTAAGGTATAAAAGTTGAGCTGCCCACTTTCCTTTTCTCCCCACAATTCTATTCTTCCTGTTTTTTGAAGGCCAGGAAAAGGTCTCAGTGATGTTGGAGAAGATAGCTTGCCTTGAGTAAAGAGCAGATTTGAAGGATAGAGGTTGAGGCAGGGGGAGGCAGAAGCATGGAGAATGGGAGCTGAGTGGCAGTTGAAGTTGTGGGAGTGAGAAGGTGGATGCTGAGTCTTCTCTGGCCGCAGGGCAGGCTCTGGGGGACTGTGGTTTTGCTTCCATTTTCATTGGGCCCCATCGCTTGGTGCTTGACTTGTTCAGCAGAGGTCTGCAGTCATTCCCAAGCTATTTGCTTGCTAAGATAAGGTCATACATGGTTGTCCTTTGGGATAATTGAGCAGTTTCTCAGGCAAACCACAGTGTAGGTAATAGAGGTGAGCACAAATGCACTGAGCATGTAGTGATGAGAAACACGCTGGTGCTACTTTCTGTTCCCACAAACTGAAAAACCAGGTATCATAGGGATTTCGTAAGAAAGTGCCCAGAAGTCATTGTTTTTTTCCTTCTGCCAAAAAACCCCCCAGTTCCCTATTAGCTCTTTTGTGGAATTGATGGTGGCAATGAAAAAGTAAAGGAGAAAGGGAGGAAGGTGGACTGTAATAAGACTGTTTTTTTTTTAAGGACATCTTTGTTGTTGTTGTTATTTTTAATATTTGGCTGCACAGGTCTCAGTTGTGATAAGAGATCTAGTTCCCTGAGCAGGGATCAAACTCGGCCCTCCTGCATTGAGACCGTGGAGTCTTAGCCACTGGACCACCACAGGAAAGTCCCCATAAGACTGTTTTTAAAGTTTTTTCTGGGAACGAATGCCTCTACCTGTCCATCCCACCCCCCATTTTAGGCCACAGTATAAAAAAAGGATGTGTGATGGTATATCTATTAATTTGACGACTTGAAGAATAAAATCCTACTACAGTTAGTGGGTGCCTATAGCTTTTCTTTCTTTGAACTTTAGGTAAAGCCTAGTTGAGTATTGACTTTTCTTGCACTGTGATTAAACTTCTTTCTCATTAGAAAATGTCACTTCCTTGCAACTTTTCTATTAACCACAGCTTACACTGTAGCAGACAGGCCTTGTAAAGATGCACGGAGTTGCAGGAATGAAGAATGCTCTTTTTCCCCTCAAAGTAGAATGATAATGCCCTGCCCACCCGCCTAGTCCCATCTCAGTGTTACTTCACTCTGCTTGGAACCAACTTTCTCCTCTTCCTTTCTGAATCAAGTTGACCCATCTTTACCCTTCAGGATTCAGTTGAACTCTCATTTTCTCAAGAAATCTCTTATCTGCCTCACCCATCCCATCATCAGTCTCATTCTTGGGCTTTTTACTTCTCGGATAACCTAACACATCTGTAATAACTGAAGAACTGGTGATTTAGTTGTTTCAAGTCTGTCTCTCCCCCCTCATCCCAGAAGAAGAGCCTCAGATAACATGGGTTGTATTTATCCTGAAGACAGTTTTATCTCTAGCTTCCATAACAGTGCCTGGTACATAACAGATACTTGAAAGATGCTTCATGAATGCTATGTACTAGGTCATGACCAGGATCAGGATGGAGCAAGAATTGTTGTTCAGTCGCTCAGTCAGGTCCAACTCTTTGCGACCCCATGGACTGCAGCACGCCAGGCCTCCCTGTCCATTACCAACTCCCGGAGCTTACTCAAACTCATATCCATTGAGTCAGTGATGCCATCCAACCGTCTCATCCTCTGTCTCCATGATCTTAATTTTTTGAATGTTGAATTTTAAGCCAGCTTTTTCACTCTCCTCTTTCACTTCCATCAAGAGGTTCTTTAGTTGCTCTTCACTTTCTGCCATTAGAGTGGTGTCATCTGCACATAGGTCGTTGATATTTCTTCCGTCCATCTTGATTCCAGCTTGTGGTTAATCCAGCCCAGCATTTCTCATGATGTGCTCTGCATATGAGTTAAATAGGCAGGGTGACAATATACAGCCTTGATGTACTCCTTTCCCAATTTTGAACCAGTCAGTTCTTCTATGTCAGGTTCTAACTTGCTTCTTGACTTGTATACACGTTTGTCAGGAGACAGGTAAGGTAGTCTGGTACTCCCGTCTCTTTAAAAACTTTCCACAGTTTGTTGTAATCACACACTCAGAGGCTTTAGCATAGTCATGAAGCAGAAATAAATGTTTTTCTGGAACTCCCTTGCTTTCTCCATGATCCAGCATATTCTGGTGTTTGATCTCTGGTTCCTTTGCATTCCTTAGTATTTTGCTTTTAGGGTGGGAGATTGAATCCACGGGGTAAGAAACCTGGGCCACATAGAGATTATCCCTAGCCCTGGGCTGTTGTCTACCTGTGTGGTCCTGACTTTGTGTGCATGGCAGGAAGCCCCTAAATCATCATCGGTCCTATCCATTCTTAGCATTTTCTGTCCACCAGTGTCTGAAGGGCTTGTTTGCAGTTTCTGTTGCTGTCTGTGACATTAGCAGTTCATTTCCTGGTATCTTGGATCACAAAGGCCTAAACCAGCTCTGATTTCAGGGCTTTCTGTCCTGCTGGTGCTTCCCTGCATCCAGCAGCTCTCCTCCATTCAGAGCTGTCCCACAGCCAGAGCCCCTGCGCACTGGAGGTACCATCTGCGTATCCTGAGGCTGCCACGGAGCAGCTGCTTGGGAGTCCTGCTGGTGTCCAGCCTATACTGGGACAGTTGGTGGAGGGTGGATGGAAACCCTGCATGCCCCTACGGGACTCACAGCCCTCACTCCCCTGGGGACAGAGGACTACAAGGACAGTTGTCTAAAGCTTTGTTGCTAAAGGAGCAAAGATGAGAACTTTCCTTGAAATTAACCTCAAGGAGGAAGTTTATCAGCATTTCTTAGCTGCTGCTTCCTCTTCCTAGCCCCACACCTATTGGAAATTGCTAATGGGAGCTGGCTTTATCACTTCAAGTGTGTACAGACAAAATAAAAAGTAAGACACACTATACAGTGAGCTTTATCTGAGAATCTGAATCTGAGTGCTTTGACCCTTTCAAGGACAGAACCTGCATAACAGATTCTACTGTTTAGAAACTTACTGTATGTTCAAGTCTGGGTTTTGTTTTTTCTTTGAGCCTTTTTCTTTTTTCCTTTGAGCCTTCTTGATGACTCCAGGTGTTTTGTTTTACAGTTAAGAATTAACGTTTTAACCAGTCAGCTCTTTTGGCATTTACCCCTCGATTCTATCATGTGCATTGGCTGATACTGACCTAGTAATGGAGAAGCAGCAAATCTTCAGGCAACTCCCATATTTCTTTTTACACATGCCACACACCAATTATTTGTCTGCCTTGCGTTTTGGCAGTAGAGATTTCCTTAACAGTTGGTTGCAAATTGAATTTTTAGAAATCAAATCCCACTGGCTACTGGAACATATCAGATAAGCTTTATCTTCCTTCTAATTAAGCATCACTAGGCAGTGACTCCTGTCATTTAAGCTTTCAGGTTCCTTTTCTTGGTTCTTTTTGTCAAGTAATTGTTTTGTAAATAAGTACAGCTCAGCTGGTAAAGAATCCACCTGCAATGCAGGAGACCCTGGTTTGATTCCTGGGTCAAGAAGATCCCCTGAAGAAGGAAAAGGCTACCCACTCCAGTATTCTTGGGCTTCCGTGGTGATTCAGCTGGTAAAGAATCCGCCTGCAATGCAGGAGACCCCGGTTCGATTCCTGGATCAGGAAGATCACCTGGAGAAGGGAAAGGCTACCCACGCCAGTATTTCAGCTTGGAGAATTCCATGGACTCTATCGTCCATGGGATTGCAAAGAGTCTGACAGAACAGAGTGACTTTCACTTTGGGTTTCATTGAAGTTCCCTGGTTCAGGCTTCCTGTTGCAGGGAAGCCTGCAATGAGTTCTGCTGTATTTTAACACTTTGTGTTCATTTTCTGAAAGTGAAGCACGACTGTGACTTCTGTGGTTTGTTTTGATGGTAAACCTCAGGCCGCGCCTCATTGTGTTGGTAGTCTAGTGGCAGGCATTAAAAGAAATATAACTCCCAACCTCACTACTGAAAGAAACCAAGAAGACAAGAGGAGTCAGGCAAACACCAGTAAAGGCACTTTCTGAATTGTGAATACTTAAAATTTTTATTAGGATACAGAATCATACATTTTTTCACTTTGTTGGATATACCTTATTATACTAGCTAGGAATCTAGTGCAGTGTTGAATTGGTGAAATTGGCCTTCCTTCATTTTTTATCTTAAAGACAAAGCATTCAATCTTTTACTATTATGTTAGCTAACAGTAGATATTTCATCAATACCCTTTATCAATTTGAAAAATCTATTATTCTTTAGCTATTCTTATCACCTTTTATCATTAATGGATGCTGAATTTTTCATGTTTTTAATACATCTGCTAATATAGTGAATCACATTGATTGATTGACTTTCAAATGTTAAAGTGATCGTTCATTACCAGGATAAACCTATTTAATCACTGTATGTGTGTTATGCTAAAATTTTATATAAGAATATTTGCATCTATGATGATGAGAGATAGCAAATCTGTAGTTTTGTCTTAAAATGTCTTTGACTAATTTTGTCATAGATAATGCTGACCTCATGAGTTAATTGTATTCCCTGTTTATTCTATATTCTGGGAGCATTTATATAGATTTGATATGCTTTCTTCTAATTATTGCTTCATAGAACTCATAGAAGCCACCTGGGTCTGGAATTTTCCTTGTATGCTCCTAATAGCAAGTTGAGTTTCTTTAATAGGTATAGAGTTATTTAGCTTATCCATTTTTCCTTGAATGAGTGAGGTAGGATTATAGCTTATACAAGCTGTCTATAAGACATATGGATTTTTATAAACCAAAATTAATTCATTTGAATTGTTTCACAGATGACATCTTTTAGAAAACCAAGCAGGATGGGCTGGGGTATTTGCAAGTGGGCACATCCTATAAATAAAATTTCCATTATGGGCCCAAGATAGACAATAATTTTGTGTTCATGACATCACATTGAAAAATAAACCTTCAGGACAATATGCATATTCACTGTTACTTTTTCAAAATGTTGAAATATATACTGCATGTAAGTTAATTTTTAGATTACTTATCACCTTACTATTTCAAATACTTATGACAAGTTAGAGATCAAAAATATGAAAAAATATTCAGAAAAGTAGATGATATTCATGACATGAATATAGTCAAAGTTCCAGACAGAGGACAGAAGAACTAGCAGTAGCAGGAAGGAAATAATACTAAAAATAATTCAAGGCAAGTTCCCAGAACTCAAGGGCATGGGTTTATAGATTTTAAGAGCCATGACAAAGTATATGATCATGACGTTTTGAAATGAAAGGAATAATTTCCTGAAAGCTTTCAGAGAGAGAAGCAAAAATAAAACAAAACTCTGATCATGGAGAAAGGGTTGGAAATCAGAATAGCAGGAAATAAAAGTGTTAATTTAGCCAGAAATTGTGATATAACTCTTTTTAGAGGCTGGAGAGAAGAAAAAGAGGTTAAAAAAATACCAAAACAAAAAAACTAAATTCTCATCTACCATAGTAAGAAGTGAGTCGATAATCCGTCTCAATGAAAAGTCTGGAGATAGCAAGAAAAGCATGCCATTTAGGTATTTGGTAGTAAAAACAAACAACAAACAAAAAAACCTGTTTCAATAAAAGAGTGAAAGGCCTTGTGAATACAGTGGTCATGGGCTGGGGAAGGGACGACCGTTTTTCAGTATCAACTTTGTAGAACGAGTACTTTTCTAACTATATGTGTTAATAATTTAGCAATTAAAATTAAAGAGTAGATAAGGATTTGCACGAGGTTTGCATGGGCCTGTTAAATATGACACTAATTCTTCTTCTCCTTCCAGATTCCCGGTATATTCTTTTACCTGTCGTGCTACATCACCTCCACATGCACTTGCAAGAACAGAAGGACCTGATCATGTGTGCACGGATCCTTAGCAATGTATTTTGTCTCATCAAGAAAAATAGCTCAGTAAGTAAACACAGGTCATAGGATATAGTGCCCATCAGATGGCTTCTGGAAAGAAAATTTTAAGTTTTCTGAGAAAGCACACCAAAGAGTCATCCTTGGAGACTCTCACTTTCATTTCCATCTGTGTTGGATTTTTTACTTTTCTTCTAAAGGAATTTTTTTTTTTAACTTTGTAGGATGTCTGTAGCCCCAAATAACCTGCATGTCTTAAACTTGTATTTCAAGGAAGAACTGAATACCCAATGAGAAAAATTAGAAATCTCAAAGCCTCCCACATGTGTCTTTAATCTTGATAAATACTCTGTGGCAAGAATAAATTATTGCTTGCAAAGACAGTCTGTTTGGGCCCATTCAGTGAAAGACTGGATGATGATGGTCAGAGCTTGGCCACGGGCCTTGGGCCAAGCCCTGTGCAGATAGGGAAAGCTAAAGAGAGGCCCAGAAACCTGGTGGTATCTTGCACCACGACCATTACTAATCACTCCATTGTCATGGCTCTAGGAATTCCTGTCAATGTTCCTGACTCTTGAGGAATTGCAGTTTGTATTAGACGATAGAGTGTCAACAGAGAAAAATGGCACGCTTGCTTATAACCGGGGGTAACCCCCTGCATACTCATGGTTCAGAGGTCTGGTGTGAAGTCCATGTGCGAAGGATGTCCTAGTTTAGTTCCATCAGTTTGCACCTGTTTACTACGCAGCCTCATCCGTAACAACTTTTACAAAGTAGGATTGGCAGTGAATGTTGGCATGCCTGTTTCTCTGCCTCCTACTTACTAGCATGCTACCGTTTCCCCATTTTCGTCCCTCTGAGTTATGATCACCTTCTGAAGAGCTTCCAGTAGAACTCTTGGACATAGGACTCCAGTACTGTGGGAACAGTTGTTGTTCAGTTGCTAAATCATGTCCAACTCTTTGTGACCCCATGGACTGCAGCACACCCGGCTCCTCTGTCCTTCACCATCGTCCGGAGTTTGCTCAGACTCAATGTCTATTGAGTCAGTGATGCTTATGTAACAGTCTCATCCTCTGTCACCCCCTTCTCCTCCTGCGTTCAATCTTTCTCAGCATCTGGGTCTTTTCCATTGAGTCAGCTCTTTGCATCAGGTGGTCAAAGTACTGGAGCTTCAGCTTCAGCGTCAGTCCTTCCAATGAGTATTAAGGGTTGATTTCCTTTAGGTTGACTAGTTTGATCTCCTTGCTGTCCAAGGGACTCTCAAGAGTCTTCTTCAGCACCTCATTTCAAAAGCATCAGGTCTTTGGTGCGAACAGAGTTGGCCCTTGAGAGAAAAAGACCAGAAACTCTGTGTCTGAAAGTATGGTGCGAGGTACCTGCCTAGGAGGGACCGTTGCTTTTTACGTCCCCAATTCAGTAAAGTAGAGCTATACCGTGCCTAGTGAGAATGTTTTTGCTAACTCTCATTGCTGAGAGTGAAAAGTAAGTTTAAAAGGTTACTGCAGAAAACCAAAAACATCAGGTGTTAGTAGAGATGATTTTTTTTCTTCCCTCTCCTATTTCATTGTTGAAGTTTTGGTCAGTTTTTGCACTTATCTGATAAGGATGTCAGAGCAGAAACTCTGTTCTGCGGGAAAATCTTTAGTAGTTTTCTTTCCAGTTGTAAGAAAGTTTATCATAAAATCCCAGCCAAAAGGGTCTTTCCAACTCATACTTTCTAAAAGTTTTCTTTGCAAAAGTAATCTTCTTGCTACACAAAGCATTTGTCATCATAGTGCTTTGTCTGGTGCAGTATAATAAGAACTCAAATCCAGTACCTTTAGTCAGTGCAGAAAACTTCACTCTCTCTCTCAAGTTCTGGGGCTTAGATAGTATTCATTTTGCTTCGGGAGAGCAGTCCCACCACAGCCACTGACATTAAGTCCAGTCTGTAACTAACATCATTCATTCAGACTGAATGCTGTTTGCTAATCTTTACATGTAGGGATTTTTAAAAATCACTTTATAGAAATAGTCATTTGCACTTAGGAGTTTTGGAAAATGACCCATGCAACTCCAGCGATGAGAAGAATAAATGTAAAAACAATCTGAAATCAAAAAATTACAAACTTAAAGCCAAGAGGGATGTTTAGTGAACTGTCAGGCCCAGAGAGGCAAACTTACCTCACAGAGAGACACACTCAATGTTAGTGGCATAGCTGGTGTTCCCAATTAGTCTGGGGTGTGTTTCAGACCATCACCCCACCTTTTTACTTGCATCTCAGGTTCCCACTGCGCTGCAGAGTCACGTACTCTTGGGTAAGGTGTTAATATCTCCATGCCTTTTGTTTTCTATGAAAGGTCATTCATTTAGATAAATTAGGGAGGTCCAGGACTGACGAGCTCAAGTCCTTTGTTGGGACTCTTATTTTAGGCCACAATTTTCTGAGCACATTATTTTTTTTTCCTTTAGGAAAAATCTGTGCTGGAGGAAATAGATGTGATAGTGGCTAGCCTGCTGGACATCCTGCTGAGAACCATCTTGGAGATCACCAGTCGTCCGCAGCCATCTGGCTCCACCATGAGGCTTCAGTTTCAGGATGTCACGGTAAGGCCACGGGGCACAAAACTGCAGAGTTTTGCTTGTTAAAGCCTCAGTTGCTTTGAGGGTGGGGAATCTGAACTTGGGAGGTTGATCTGTGTTCATTTCAAATGTGTGTAAGTTTACCTTCGTTTTACCAGGGGATGGGAGTAAGATGCATGTTTGTTAAAAGATCTTCAATTAAGATATTTCTAATTGCAGAAAGGCCAAATTGGCCCAGTTCCCCACCCCCCCATTTTGCCCAATTCAAGTTAATCTGTGGCTCTACATCCTCAGTCTCCTTGATAACTATCCATTCTCTTTTCATTCATCAAATTGCTTGAGAAAGTTAGAACAGTGAAACAGAGCAATATCTGTCAAGGGTCCTAAATTTTGATTGTGAATTTTTCACTATGGCTAGTAAGGATCTTAATTTGGTGGCGGGTTGGTGGGGGAGGTCAGTTTCCTCAGCTATGAATTGTGAAAGTTTGACCTGGTGATTTTGAGATATCTTCAAGCTCTACCATTTTATGGATCTAATGTAACATGAGTTGTAAATATTAAGACATAATTTATGTGATAGTTTATTTGTATATATGTGTGTGGAGAGAGAGATGTATAGATGGATGGATGGGTACATAAATCTTCACATTTGAAACTCACATTCAGTTGACCAATGTGGCCTTTTTTTTTAAGGTCTGATTCAGAACATTCTTCTAACTACCACTTGCAGAAATGGCAGTAGATGCTCTGGTTTTCCCATATAGGTTATTAACCAAAATGTCAGCCTTTTGCTATTATTTTTACAAATTGTGCACTATAGAACCACTATCATAAGAATGTTTGCCTAGCTCCTGATGAAGATAATTTTTTTTTTCTTTTACTTAAGAGAGTAGAGGGTTTCCCAGGTGTCTCAGTAGCAAACAAAAAAAAAACCCATCTGGCAATCCAGGAGGTGCAGTTTCGATTCCTGGGTCAGGAAGATCCCCTGGGGGAGGAAACAGCAACCCACTGCAGTATTCTTGTCTGGGAAGTCCCCTGGAGAGAGTGGGGTACAGTCCATGGTGTCGCAAAAGAGTTGGGCAGGACTTAGGGACTAAACAACAAACAACAACAAAACAGAAAGCCCACCCTGGCTGTCCTGCCAAGGTTGAATGTCTTAAGGATGGCCATCTTCTATTGCATTTTATTTTCTCTGCTTTCAGAGCTGAGATTTACCTGATTCTTCCTGCCAAGCTCCTGGTTGGGGAAGTAAAGTTACTCAATTTCTTGTAACAAGCTGCGGTTAAAGATTATACGAAAAAACTTCCTAATATATGTAATAGTTGTACTGCCTCATTAAAGAAAAGAAGAGGAAGCTATTAATTTCTCACGATCTGGTGGAATTTCATTTGTAGAATGCCACCTACCTCACAGGGTTAGCTTTGTGTATTTGGCAACTCTTTGATCCATAGTAAATGCTCAAAACATGTTGTTTTTTCTTAAAACTACTGGACATCATTATGGGTTTGAAAGTTTGCATGAGTTTGTTTTGAATTTTTTTGTCCTGTCTTCTCATGTTTTTCTGAAATTTTTATTTTGTGATAATTTGAGTCACATGCAGTTGTGAAAAATAATACAGATATTCCATGTTCCTTTTATCCAGTTTCCCTAATGGTAATGTCTTTCAGAACTATAGCACAGTATCACAACTAGGATATCAGCAGTAGTGCAGTCAAGATGCAGAATATTCCACCACCCCAAGAATCCCCTATCTTGTCCTTTTATAGCCAAACTCAATTCTCTCCCAACTCCACCTCCTTCTTAAGCCTGTCAACCACAAAATCTGTTCTCCTTTTCTTGTTATTTTGTCATTTTAAGAATGCTGTACTTGAGTCACTTTGCTGTACAACAGAGAATTGGTACAACATTGTAAATCGACTATGATTTAAAAAAATTTTTTAAAAAGAATGTTATACAAGTAGAACCATACAGTACATAACTTTTGTGACTGGCTTTTTTTTTTTTTTTACTCAGCTTAATCCTCTAGAAATTCATCCAGGTCATTGTGTATGTGTATATATACACATATATAAATATATATATATATATCTGTTCCTTTTTCTTACTCAGTAGTTTTCATGGTGTAGATGTGCTGTAGTGTGTTTAACTATCTCCACTGAAGGCCATCTTGGTTGTTTCCAGATTTTGGCTGCTACTAACAAAGCTACTATAGATATTTGCATGCAAGTTTTTATGTAAGCATAAGTCTTCATTTCTCTAGGATAAATACTCCCAGGAGTATGGTTGCTGGATTGTATGCTAGTAGCCTATTTTGGTTTTTAATAAATGGTCTTACCTACTTCCATAATGGGTGTATAACTTTACCTTCTCATATATACAGTGTATAATGAATGATCCAATTTCTCAGAACCTCATAAGCATTTAGTGTTGTCACTATGAGGAGTGGGGAAGGGATGGGGACCCTTGGATAGGTGGGTAGTGATATCTCATGGTGGTTTTGACTTGTATTTCCCTAATGATTAATGAGGCCAAACATCTTTTCACATACTTGTTTGCCATCTATATATCACTTTCAGTGGAATATCTTTTTATGTCTTTTCTCCTTTTTCTAATTGGATTGCTGTCCTTGGTTGAATATGTCATTTACAAATATTTTATCCCACTTCTGTAGCTTGTTTTTTCATCCTTTTAACAGGGTCTTTTTGTTGTAGAGCAAAAGTTTTTAATTTTGATGAAGTCCAGTTTATCAATTTTTCCTTTGATGGATCATGCTTTTGATGTCAAGTTTAAGAACTCTTTTTGTCTAGCCCTATATTCTGAAGGTTATCTCCTAGGTTTTTTTTTTTCTTTTTGCCTAAAAGTATTATAGTTTTATAAGTCACATTAAAGTCTGTGAACCATTTTGAGTTGATTTTTATATTCACTGTGTCAGATAATTTTAACATCTCTATTATCTCAGTGTTGACATCTCTTGTCGTTTTTCATTCGGTTTGAGATCTTCTTGGGTTTTTGTATGACGAGTGATTTTCAGTTGAAACCTGGACATTTTTGTATTATAAGACTCCAGCTCTTATTTAAACCTTCTGTTTCACGTGGCCTTATGTGACACTACTTAGCAAGGAAAGGGTGAGGATGCCCACTCACGATGGGCAGTTGGAGGCAGAAATCCAGGCTCCTTGCCTTGGCTTCACTTACACAGACCAGTGGTCATGAAAATACCTGCCCCCTATTTGGCTCTGCATTCTGGAGACAGATGTTGGGGTATCCCATCACAGCCTTGTAAAGATGGAAATCTGGACTCCCCATTTGGCTCTTACAGGTTTGAAAACAGCCAGATTTTTGTGATGTTGAGCTACAGTAGAGAAGTTACTGCTAAAAGTTTTGTCTTGTTAAACTTCCCCTTTCCTGGTCCTTTGGCTTAAGAGAGCAGGCTTACTGGGAGGTGCCAAGCAGAGGTGGGGGGTTAGGGAGATTGTTGCAATTACTGTTATTTCAAGGAGGCCAGCTTCTTCAACTCCAGGGGCAGGATATAGGAGGCAAAAAGAAAACCCAGAGAACACAGCACCCTGTCCTCCCTTGGGTCTGAGGCCTCTAGCAGGCCTGTTCTCTTCTTTCCACTTTCCAGAGTCATCTTGTTTGTTTTGTATATAATGGAGGGGTTTTTGTTGTACTTGGTAGAAGGAATTGGGAAAAGCATATATACTCCAGCTTCCCAAAAGCAGAAGAAAGTCTCCTTCATTTTGGTTTTGCTGGTAACATTTCAACTGCTTCCTGGCAATACAGCTCCAACACAGTCCTAAAATTATAATGGCCAAGCAAACAAAATCACAGCAAATGCTCCATGTGGTCAAAGACTGCCCAAGGTCAAAAGCTAAAATACTTTGTCAAACTGCTTTGTATCTATCAACAGGGTTGAAACTGTCAAATTTTTCTGGGCCATGCATGACCTGTAGGTCTTCACAGCATAATGTTGTAGTTTAGTTGCTCAGTTGTGTCCAGCTCTTTGCAACCCCTTGGCCTTTAGCCCTCTAGGCTCCTCTGTCCATAGGATTTCCCCAGCAAGAATACTGGAGTGGGTTGCCATTTCCTCCTCCAGGGGATCTTCCCCACCCAGGGATCGAACCTGTGTCTCCTTCTTGGCAGGTGAATTCTTTACCAGTGAGTTACCTGGGAATACCTCACAGTATAATAATCAGTGCAAATTAAGAGACTTAAGAAGGCAGTGAGTGATGCTCATGGGTGGGTTTGGGCAGACAGGGCGTTTGTCTGGTCTGCTACAATTTTAGGAAAATCACATAAAGTGAAACCTTTCCCTCGTATAGCTGTTTTGTGGCCCTTGCCGTGTGCCAAACCAAACTCTGGGTATGTGGGATGAAGTTTGCAAGAAATGTCCACTTAAATAGTTTGGTATCTTAGATTTTATAGATTTTATGCTGCAAGATAGTATTTTTTTTTTCGAATCCTCAAGCAGACCCGGTCTAAATCCTACTCTGCCCTTTGATTAGCTGTGCATGCTCTTGGGCAAGCTTCTGTTTAATTGTCTTTAAAATAGAGAAAGTAATTGTACTTATCTGAACATGAGTTTAAGGGTTTCATCAAATCTATGAAAGTGTTTAAGCAATATGAGTACGTTTTAGCGATTAGTAATTGTGGTAGCAACACCAGTCTGTAATATTATTATTATTGTAGAAGTAATATCTATGTTGTTATTGAACGAATTGAGTTCGGCTGCTTCCCACTTACAAGATCAATTACACACTCACAAATGGTAGAAAAGAAAGATGCCTTTAATCAAAATGCCAGCCATCTGGGGAGATGGTGAACTCAGCATCCCCCTAAACCACCTACAAAGATTCTGCTCAGCAACAAAAGCTTAAAAAAAAAAAAATAAGGAAGTAACCTCAGTTCATCATTGAGATCGGGTGTTAGAATCACCACCATTCTTCAACTGTGTGCAGGCCAGTCCTACCCTCGTGACCTTCCTCTAGATGTTATCTCGTTTATACAGTTCGGTCACACGTTTTGTTCAGATTACTGAAGGGAAAGCTAGAGAAGAGATCTGGTCATTTGTTCATTACTTATTCTTCATTTCTTCTTTGATCTACAGAAGGAACAGACAAGTTAGGCAAAGTATTGTGTGATTAAAAGATTTGAAAGGTGTGTTGGGCTAGAGATGAGTAGAACATGAGGGTGCCTGGTTTCAAAGTTAGTTATAGTGTAGCTCTGCTAAAGTGACAGGGAAAAGGGGCTTCCTGCTGAAGGCAGTTTCCTATAAGAGCTGCTTTATTGTTGTTGTTTATTATTGTTGTTTAGTTGCTAAGTCATGTCCAACTCATGACCCAGTGGACTGTAGCCTGCCAGGTCCTCTGTCCATGGGATTTTCCAGGCAAGAATACTGTAATGGGTTGCTGTTTCCTTCTCCAGAGGATTTCCCTGACCCAGGGGTTGAACCTGCATGTACTGCATAGGCAGGCAGATTTTTACTACTGAGCCACCAGGAAAGCCCCTTAAAGAGCTACTTACTTTTTAACTAATTCTAAGGTGAGAAATGGGTCCTGATCATTGGCAAGGTTATTTCTCTGGGCACTGAAGACCTATCTGATTCCTTCCTCTTTCTGAATTAGAGAACAGGCTCTCTGAATAGGGAGGTTTCCCATGACAGTCCTACCCTGAGCACCTTTCTGCCTTTACAGGAAAAGTGCCCACTGTAAGTGGACATGCTGTGGGTAAAAGCCAGTCCCACCGCGTGTCATGGTGAAGTGTTTCAGCTCTCTGTAAGTGCCACGTCTGTCACCCTGTCTCCTGGTAATGCCAACAGGATGACTGGCTTCCACTCTTGTCATAATTCCAGATAACAGTAGCCTTATTTTTACCATCTAAATGGGTTGTACTTTTTGTTCTTCTACCAACTGCTGTTTAAGCTTTAAAATGCTCTCACTAGTTGAGGGGAGTTGGGGGAGGGTAGAGTACCATTGTAATCAGTTCCATTCAAACATCTAATTGTACATGGAAGCAGATTTTTTAAAGAGGCATGTGTGGCCATTTGTTTACACCCTCAACTATTGGACTCCAGAGTTGCTTACAGTTGGTAAGTGCATCTGTGTACATAGTTCTATTCAGCACTGTTTATAGTACAGGTGACTTAGTTCAGCAGGAACCATGCCTAAGACACAGGTCTACATTTGTCTGCAGTTTTTGTGTGCTACGGGCTGTGGTTGGGGGAAGAAGAAGGCAGAATTCTGTACGGGGGAATTCTAGGGGAAATTTGGGTATATATAATGAAAGGTTTCTTGAAGACCTTATAGCCATCTACTAATCTTATTCCCAGTTATTGGTGGAAATGGCCATTATACTCAATCTAGTTGTAATATGGATGAAACCACTGTGGCGTGGAGTTCTTGCTAAAGGTGATTTGTACTTAAATTCCAACATTAAAATGAATTGAATCTTGGCTGACAATAATTTAATTTTTATTTTTAACAAATTATGAGTCTACGGCTTTCATGCAGACACTTAAAGTCTCTTAAAAACAAAATTGCAGGTGAAAAATATGTCAGTGAAATATTGGACATCTCGGCCTCTTAACAGGGTTAAATGTTCCTAAACTGATGAAGTGAATAAATAAAATGACATCGTAAGGTAGATATTGGAATTGACAACATGTCTTAAATGTGCCAGGATGAGATATTAGCATGACAAGTTGTTTGCATTGGGCCTAAACCGGATGTGACAGAGATAAATAGTCAATAATATGGATTCAGAGAGAGATTCTCTTAGTTCAGTGACTGTAAAGATTTAATGAAATGAATATCTTTTCATTTTTGAGTAATTTTTATGATTTACTAAAATCATTAAAAATAATGTCATTTAAGATATATCACTATTCATAGACAGAATGTATGTTGAAATAGTCTAAGAATGTTAATCTCATAGATACATTGGAGATAGTTTGGTTAAGATGCAGAAAAACTGAAGATGAAAAATTGAATGCATTACTACTAACTAGATTTGTGTTTTCAGGTTGAGACATAAGAGCAGCTAAAAAGCGCAGACATTAACAAAGTAATATATTGAGCTTGGAGGGTATTTCTGCTAGCGCATACTGGTGAGCTCTTAAATATTTGCCCTAAAAAGTGTGTAGGAATATTAATTTGTCATATCTATGTGTTGCAAACTATTATACACATGCAAGGAGTCAACTTGCATCTCTGGTTCTTGAGTGTGTGTGTGTGTGTGTGTGTGTGCACGCGCATGCACATTCATTCAATCAGTCATGTCAGACTCTTGGAACCCAGTGGTCTATAATCCACTAGGCTTTTTGTCCATGGGATTGTACAGTTAAGAATACTGGAGTCAGTTGCCATATCCTCCTCCAGGGGATCTTCCTGACCCAGGGATTGAATCTGCATCTTTTGCATCACCTGCATTGGCAGGTGGATTCTTTGCCACTAACATGGCCATAAAGTAGCATCCTTGGGCCTCCCATGGCCTTGGTGGCTTTGTCTTGACTTAGCTACTGCTATGGGTAAATTCCATTTCTCAAAGCTTTTAGTCTCAAGTTGTACATATGAGTCTATAATATTTTCCCATGTAAACTCAAAGAATTCAATTCCCAGTTAAACTGCATTTCTCTAAATCCACAGTCACTTATCACTGGTTACCTCTTTTGTTGTGCTTATACTGTTTTAAATGTACTTAAAAGTAGGTAAATTCTTTGCTGAGCAAAAGTTTCATTGAAAACAAATATTTTAAGTTAGAAATGCATCAGGAAGTGCAGCAATAATGATTTTGTGTGTGTGTATGTGTTCTCAGTCACTCAGTTGTGTCTGACTCTTTGTCACCCCATGGACTGAAGCCCTCCAATCTCCTCTGTCCATTGGATTTTCAAGGCAAGAGCACTGGAGTGTGTTGCCATTTCCTTCTCCAGAGGATCTTACCAACCAAGGGATCTAACCCACCCACATCTCCTGTGACTCCTACTTTGGTGGGCGGGTTCTTTTCCTCTGAATCACCAGGGAAGCCTGATAATTTTATCAGTCCTCAAATCTACGGATGCTATATGTATTTTTTTCTTTTCATTATTAATTTTTAAGATTTGGATTTTATGGAAGTCAGTTGCATAGCACCCAAGCATAAAATAATCACAATTAACTTTAACTATTCTTAGACTTGTGGTTGCTGGGGGGACTGGGGGTGAAAGGGGAGGGATGGATTGGAATTGGGGGTTAGCAGATGCAAACTAGTATATACAGGATGGATAAACAAGATCCTCCTGTATAGCACAATGGACTGTCTTCAATATCCTGTGATAAGCCATAATGGAAAAGAATATGAAAAAGGATGTTTATACGTTCTATATAACAATCACTTAGCTGTACCACAGAAGTTAATACAACATTGTAAATCAACTATATTTCAATAAAATTTTTAAAAATTAACTGATCTTAAAAGGAGATTGAAACCAACATTATGCAGTGTATGGCTTTCTTTACGTCCAGCAAGTTAGCTGATAGGCCCTTTAATGAGCTGGAGAAGAACATAGGAATTCAAATATTGAGCAGGAAGTTACAGGAAGAGCTTTGGAGTATAAAAAGCTGGAAATAACTCCAATTCTGCCACTTTCTTTTTTAGCCCACCAAACCTTTATTTTACTTTCTTTCAATTAGTATTCCCTATGCTATACATCAGAAATTAACACAACATTGTAATCAACTATACTTCAATTAAAAAAAAGAAAGAAAAATTAGTATTACATTCCCTACCTTATAGCACTGATATGAAGCTCAAATGATGCAATGAACCAAGGCACAGTAAATGCTTAATAAATAGTTGGAGCCGCATTGCCTCACCTTCTTTAAGTGTATGTAGTTACTGCCCTACTGAAAAGCTTCCACCTAAGTTAAAAAAAAAAAAAACTCTAAATTTTAAATTTTAAAGTGCATGTCTACCATGATCACAGGGAGAAATTTTGACTGTAATGTCATGGTTAATTTAGATTAAGACAATATCATATTGTAAATTTGGATCATAGTGGTTTTTTTCTTCAAGTGTTCTATTTGAGAGCACTTTGAGAGTTGAAAGTAAGTTGCTGATGTTGCTTTATGTACTTGCTAAAACAATGTGCTTGCTCTTTTTTCCATTAGGGGGAGTTTGTTGCTTGTCTCCTGTCCCTATTACGGCAAATGACAGATAGACATTATCAGCAGCTTCTTGATAGTTTCAATACAAAAGAAGAACTAAGGGTAAGTGACATTATATGGTATTCTTTAGTATATCTTTTTAGTTTCTCTTTTTCTTATTTATCATCATTCAGATAATTTTTTCACCATTGCTTTATCTGATTCCATTAAATTCTGTTTTTTATCAGATTTATCCATAGATTTGCTCTTCTGTAAATTGACTCTTTAAAATTTCTGTACCCAAGCCGAGAAATTAACTCTTATTTTGGGCAAGCATATAAGATTTGAAACACCTATCATCAAAGTCCAGTAAAGTAACCTAGAAATAGAGTAACAGAACTAATGAGACAAAAATCAAATAGACTAAGTCTAATAGTGGTAATGTTGCCTTAACAGAAAATAAGGGAGAATATATTATCTTAATAGAAATAGCCTTAATATAAAATAAGGGAGAATATATTTTAGCTGATTTCATCCTGCTAAAACCTATGGACAGGGAGGCCTGGCGTGCTACAATTCATGGGGTCACAAAGAGTTGGATACGACTGAGAAACTGAACTGAACTAAAAGCCACAGTGAGAAGTTCTGGCTACAGTATTCTGACTAGGGAGGCAGAGTTTATATTTGATATTCTCTATAGGCTGTAGTCTAATCATTATGCTATGCTACTCTGACAGTCTGACATTAAATAGAAAATATTGATGTCTGATTTGTAAAAGTCTGATCTTTGCTAAGATTTAGGGAACCTTAATGCTTCCTTCCTTTAATGCTTCCTGGTGTGCTGCAGTCCATGGGATTGCAAAGAGTTGGATACAAATGGCAACTGAAAAACAATGCATCCTTCATGGTGTTCACTAAAATCTTAGATGTTGATTGTCCTCAGTGATAGGAATGATCTGTCATCTGTCATTAGTTATGTTTATTTCTCTTCCATTGCTTCAGTTTCCAGACAGGTTTATACATAAGCCATCAAAATGGAAGGGTTTCTTTAGTGCTGGTGAAACCACCCTCCTTCTCAGATGGGACTTAAACCCACAATCTCTGACTTAGGAGGGGACTCAAACCCCATCTTTCTATTGAAACTGCTCACCTTCTCACCTGAACTCACTGAAGCTCAGGTTCTTTTGTTCTGTCACAGAAAGAATTCAGCAAGAGGCAAAGTGATAGGAGAACAGTGAGATCATTAGCATAGAACGCTTGTGAGAGATACACAAGTGGGCCAGCAAGACAGTGCAACCCCAAGAACAAAGAGGGCTACATTTTTTTTAATCAAAGAAAAAGTGGGGAAAAGACCACCTTCTTCCTCGTTTGGGGGTAGATATAAAGGTTTTACATCATCAGTTCTGCCTTTGAACCCAGTGTGGACTGAGACTGTCATGGCACTATTTAAGTCATATGTATATTAGTAAATATAGTAATTCATCTCAGATTTTGGTATAATATCCTTTTTCAAATAGTTTCTTTCCCCTTTCACCTGTATTCCTATCTTGACTACATACAGAAATGCTGCTCTTCAAAGACCATTAATTTCCTGACTTCATGTAACATATCTATTGTCTTGTGTTTTAACTATCACAACTTGTTCACAGGTTGAGTGTGCCTTGCACTTGAATGCATCTGATCTTCCTTAAAGGTGGTATAGATTGTTGCTAGGTTACTGTCTTTTCTTGAGTGATTAGCCTATAACAGTTTCACAAACCCTCTTAAAATTCTGTTTGTTTTTAATCCTCTCTCTAGTGAGATTTCTAAACTGTTTAATTTTCCTCCTCTGTCCCTATCATTAAGGGATGAAGAATTATAAGACAGTGGATATAGTTACACTGTAAGAATTACATGATTAAAAGCCTTCATGGTGTCAATGGATAGGGAAAAAGTAGAAACAGTGTCGGATTTCATTTTTTTGGGCTCCAGAATCACTGCAGATGGGGACTGCAGCCTTGAAATTAAAAGACGCATGCTCCTTGGAAGAAAAGCTATGGCAAACCTAGACAGTGTATTAAAGATTAGAGAGATCACTTTGCTGACAAAGGTCCATATAGTCAAAGCTATGGTTTTTCCAGTAGTCATGTATGGATGTGAGAGTTGGACCATAAAGAAGACTGAGCACTGAAGAATTGATGCTTTTGAACTGTGGTGTTGGAGAAGACTCTTGAGAGTCCCTTAGATGGCAGGGAGATTAAACCAGTCAATCCTAAAGGAAATCAGTCCTGAATACTCATTGGAAGGACTGGTGCTGAAGCTGAAGCTCCAATACTTTGGGCACCTGATACGAAGAGCCGACTCGTTGGAAAAGACCCTGATGCTGGGAAAGATTGAGGGTGTGATAGAGGATGATATATATGGATGATATCACTGACTCATTGGACATGAGTTTGAGCAAACTCAGTGAAGAACAGGGAAGCCTGACGTGCTGCAGCCCATGGGGTCACAGATAGTTGGACATGACTTAGTGATTGAACAATGGTGTCTTAGAGCAAGATTTATAGTTTTAATATAGATAATGCATAAGGGTCACTTCTTTTTGACTTTTAAATGTTGTATAATCTCAGATGAATTTTTCAATTACCTTGGATCAGTTTATAAGCAGAGTCATATGAAACAAAGAATAGATTTGGGCAGGTGTAATCTATTTGACAGTTGATTAGCATATGTCCAAACCTGAAAATATCATGTTTTTCATGCTTGTATTAATATTTAATCTTGAGGTTAGAATTTGAAATGGATAAGTAGATCTTAGAGCTTATCTACTCTACGTACAGAAATCCATGTGATTAAAAAGGAAAATAATTGTGCAGTTATGAACTGTCATCACAAGTTGCATATTTAACACAGCTGAGGAATCATTAGATTTTATGAAGTCTATAACTTCATATTTCAAAATTCACATAGGAAAAGATTATGTATTTTCACAGAGCCTGGGAATAAAAAAAAATAGTGGAAAAGCATAAGCCAGAAAAACATTGTTTAATCTAGGTATTGAGTTTTATGCTTTAATATTCATGTTAACAATAATAAAGCAAATGAAAATAATGAATGATAATGGAATAATGAAAATAATGGAATGTTTCAGGTGACTTTTTCTTTGGTCAGTCACATGCTTTTTCAAAAGACATATGTCCCTCTTCAAAATAGTGGAGCCTAAAAACAAAACAAAACTGGACTTTCAGGTCAGGAAAATTATTTAATGATAATACTTTATCTGTCCTTCAGGAAGTATAGATTGAGCAATTCAGGCATACCAAGTGCTGTCAGTGTTGTTATGTAACCAGTGGCAAAAAGGCCAGTTCCTGTTGGGGGTGGGATCAAACAGGTTAATGGGCAGTGACATAGGCAAATGAAGTGGTGAAGACACAGAGTTAACACGCAGTGCCTTGGAGCATCTAGGAATTGCAGCCAGCCCAAACTCAAGGGTAGAGAAAACCTTGCCAAAGGAAGTCTTGGCTGAAAACTGAGTAGGAGTGTGCTGACCATGTTTGGCTAAGACATTCGGCTCTCTCAACTATGCTATTGCTCAGTCGCGAAGCTGTGTCTGACTCTTTGTGACCCAATGGGCTGCAGCACGCCAGGTTCCTCTGTCCTTCACTCTCTCCCGGAGTTTGCTCAGATTCATGTCCATTGAGTTGGTGATGCTTATCTCAACATCTCATCTGCTGCCACCCACTTCTTTCAGCTGTAATGTCACCCAGATATCCTGATACACCACATCTGCCATTCTACCATTATAATAGTTACTAGAATCTGGAATCTTTTTGCTTGTTTATATATATCCCAACTCCTAGCTACTAGGTTATATAAGCTTCTTGACATCTGAAACTATTGCTGGTTCACTGCTGTATCCTCAAGCCCAGAACTTGCCTAACACATTGTCAGTATTCAGGCAACATCTGTGAATGGACTGACTGTAGAGTTTAGAAGAGAGTTGTAAAATGTAAGCCTCTCTGAATATATATATATAGAGAGAGATTTTATTATGAAGACATTGGAAAACTATGGAGGGTTTTAAGAAGGGACAGACATGATCACATTTGTATTAAGAAAGACCTATCTGGATGCACTATGGAATTATTGCATATTTGGTAAATTTGATGAGCATTTTCAATGCATTGGTAAGAGTGGGAAGCCAAGGTGTCATAGACTGAAGGATTAAAAAAGAAAAAGATGTAGTGGATGTAAACTGTGTTTCAAAAAGAGGAGTATAAGGTGTCTACTGAAGGAGAACTTGAGCTATTAGAGGAATATTTGTCATGGAGAAAGCTTAAACATATTGAATTGTTAATAATCAGAGCTGGTAGAAAGGGAGACACTAAAAATAAAAAGGTGCCAACTCACCGGGGAAAGTCCCTACGAAAGCAGCAGGAGGGACCTAATTAATCTTACCCCTTGCCCAGTGTAAGACTAGAAGGAAAATAACTGGAGTGAAGGCAGGCTGGAGGGCATTTATCTTATGAAAGGCTAATTAGTCATCTGGTTTTCATCTGTACTTAAAAAATGCAGATGCCACCTTTTAGCATATGTTTTTCGTGTTCTCAGTTTTCTTCAAAGTCAGATATCTGTATTCATGCTACTGAAACCTATGTTACAAGACTTTCCAAAGATGATTGCAGTGGCCCACAGTCCCTTAACTAGAGTCCTCATACCACATGTATTTCAGAAATCAGAATGTTTGCTATTCCAGAAAGATAGTGTGGCACATATACTGTGTAGTATCATCTATAGCATCTCCAGGAGTACTAGTGGTAGCAACTACAGTTTGACCCTTGAACAATGTGCAATTGAAAATCCACATGGAACTTAGGGTCAGTCCTCTGTATATGTGGCTCCTCCGTATCCCAGTTTCCTCTGTATCTGTAACTCCATATACACGGATTCAACCAGCTACAATTGTGCAGTATTGGGGTATTTACTACTGAAAAGCTGAAACTACAATACTTTGGCCACCTGATGCAAAGAACTGACTCATTTGAAAAGGCCCTGATGCTGGGAAAGACTGAAGGCGGGAGGAGAAGGGGACAACAGAGGATGAGATGGTTGGATGGCATCACCAACTCAATGGATATGAGTTT